TTTTTTTTTTTTTTTTGGTACCGGGGATTGAACTCGGGACCTTGCTTTTGCGAGGCAGGCAGCGGCACCACTGAGCCAAATCCCTGGCCTCTGGCAATGTGGTTTTTTACCTCAGTAAGAATTGTTTGGTGTGAGGATTCATATACCTTATTTTCAGAAGGACTAAGAGAACAAAGGATTGATGTTCATTATACCAAAAAAAATAAATTAGTAAATATGAGATTGGACTGGCTACTTCTGTTTGATCAAATCTGTTTATATAATTATTTTCCTGATTATAGAGATTGGGTTAAGAAGAAATGTGTGGGAATAATTATTAACTGTTAATTTAACATTCCTTAAAACCCTTCCATTTCTTCCTTAATTTGTATGTGTATATTGCAGTTGAGTGTGTGTTTGTGTGGAGGGGCATTCTCAGAAGGAAGCAGCTAAACTGTTCCAAGGCATAAAATGAGAAACAGTATGGAAAGTTCCAGTCCCAGCTTTCCACAGAACCAGAGAAATACATAAAGAACATTAGGCTTCACCTGTTGGGGGGCGGGGGCGGTGAGAACCTGATGCTAGTGCCTTTGGTGACCTCATTCCCATAGAATAGTTATTCTAAATGCTTTAACTAAGTAGTAATGTACAAATTTTGAATTTAGCACTTTATTCTTGATAAGGTTTGGTGTTTAGCAGAAAAAAGACTCAATAGCTTTAAAAAGTGAAATATTTTATTCTTTTTGTTGTTTGGGGATTTTCTGATTAAGAAGCAAGGTAAAAAAAATCATCCATCCTTCTGTTATCTGGGCCATCACAACGTAGTGGGTATAGTATGAGAAAAGTCTTAGATCATCTTTGTAGCTTCTCTCCAAAGATTACATGTGTATGTTTATTGGATAATTTTGGTATTTAAATGTATAGAATTACAGAAAGATCTGATTTTAAATGATGATCAGTTAGCTAATTTGGACCTTCTATTTTCACTGCTGTCACGTTTTTTCTAGTTATTTTATTTCCATTCACTAATTTGAGCTGTATACTGTCTTTTAAGATAATAAATGCTACCTTGAGCAATTATATATTCTGACTTTGTACTGGCTATAAGAACTGTTAATGTTATGGTCTCAGATGTGATAATGAAGTATGGAATAAACCCATAGCTCTTAGTTTCTTGTGATATTTAAAGAGAATATTATGAAATTCTTTTCTTTCTCTGCTATAGATTGGTTGTGATCGTAGCAAAAACCTTGTGGACATTTGTAGAGAGAGGCAATTCCAAGCCTTTGTCTGTGATGCATTGGCAGTTCCAGTTCGCAGTGGGTCTTGTGATGCCTGCATCTCCATTGCTGTTATTCACCATTTTGCAACAGCGGTAAGTATTGTTTTCTCCTCTCCAAGAACTTATAACGAACATGGCAGGAAAAGTTCATGGATTTTACTAGTTTTGAATTCTGCTTTAGCTTTTCATCTCTTTCCATTTCTTTTCTTATCATACAATCTGTCCTCCTTTGTAAGAGAGCCTGTGCAATGAAGATTGGCTACATGGGAGTAATGTTTCCCTGCACAAACCTGATGGGATTCTGTGCCTTTATTGCTGCATGTTTTAGCCCCTTTCTACCCCACATCTCATTCATTTCTAAATGCTTTCCTTCAAACCCTGTCACCAAATTTTAGCTGGAGGAGACTGAGCTCATCAGCTCTATACCTCTTGAGTGTGCTTCTCAGATTGATCTCTTCTCTGTCTCTCTTTCTTGTTTTTCTTTCTCATTCCTTCTGTCACTGGCATGTGATTTTACTTCTTCCTATTCTGTTCCTTTCCTATTCTTTCTTCAAAACTCTGTCTTATTTATGTGGTAGTAGTATATTCACTCTTTCAATGTTTTTAATTTTAAAATAAATAAATTTAATATTTTACATCTCCCTTAATGGGGTGTACCACTTATTTTTCCTTTTCTCTCCTAATCTATACAAGAACTGTATAGCCCGCTCTTTTTGTCACTGGCAGTTTCAGTAGACCTAATGGCCTTAACTGAATTTGTATTTTTAAAGTCAGAAAATCTCCTGTGTCATTTGTTTCTTTAATCACTGGCTCTTTATTTATTAATGGTAACTGAGAGATTCTGCTGGGCTATAGCATACAGTATAAAGGGATTCTTTATAGCAAAAGCCACTAGCAATCAGAACACTTAGAAGAATAAATCAACAGAGAAAGGCTTGCAAGCAGCAGCTATACCAGCAAATTTTAAAATCTTGATTTGGAAGAAATGTTTGACATACTTTGGTCCTTTCAACCACAGCTCACTTAATGGCAGTGGACTATCTTCAAGTTATAAAAAAAGTAACATACATAGATATATCTATATCTGTTTTTTGTTGTTGTAAATATATGTTGGATCCTCTTAGAAATTTATCATATCTATCTTTCTCTCCATATTTCTTGTCATTTATTTAAAAATAATTAATTGACCACATGCAAAAGAATCAGATTGGGTCCTTATCTTATGGCATATTGAAGAAATAACTCAAACTGAATCAAACACCTATACATGAGCTAAAACTAAAATTCTTAAGGAAATATAGGAGAAAAGCTTCATGACATTGAATTTTGGCAATGATTTCTCATATATAATGCTAAGCTTAGGCAGCAAAGGATAATATAGATAAATTGGATTTCAACATCAAACAATACTATCAATAATGAAAAAATGCAACCCTAAAAATGGGAGAAAATATTTGCAAATCATTTATCTGATAAAGAATATCCAGAATATACACAGAATTCCTGAAATGCAATGAAAAACAACCCAATTTAAAAGAGATGAAGGACATAAATAGATGTTTTAACCAAGAAGATATAAAAGTGGCCAATATGCACATGAAAAGATGCTCAGCATCACGAATCACTAGGGAAATACAAATCAAAACTACAGTGAAATAGCATTTCACATACATTAGGATGGTTCTTATCAGAAATAAAAAAAATAACAAGTGTGAAGATGTGGAAAAATTGAGCACTTCCAGTGGAATGTAGAGTGATGCACCCATTGGAGAAAACAATATGGCATTTCCTTAAGAAATCAAACAGAATTAGCATATGGTCTAGTAGCAATTGCACTTCTAGGTATTTACCCAAAACTGTTGAAAGCAGGGTAGCTATTTGTACAGTCATGTCCATAACAGCATTATTCATAGTAGCCAAAAGATGTAAACAGCTCAAATGTCCATCAATGTATGACTGGTTAAACAAAATGTGGTTTATTCAAATAAGGGAATATTATTCAGCTTTAAAAGGAAAAAAGAAATTCTGATACATACTACAACATGGATGAACCCTGATGACAATTATATTAGGTGAAAAAGCCACATACAAGGGGGCAAATATTGTAAAGTACCTATATGAAGTACTTAAAATAGTTCAATTCATGAGACAGAAAGTAAAATAGTTGTCACCAGAGGCTTAGTGGAGGGAGAGTGGGGATTTACTATTTAACTGGTACAAAGTTTCAGTTTGGGATGTTAAAAAAGTGCTGATGATGAATAGTAGTGATGATTGCACAACAGTGTGAGTCTAATTAATGTCACTGACTTTGATATTTAAAATGGTTAAAATGTTGAATTTTATGTCATGTATATTTTATACCACAGTAAAAAGTAATTCATTGAAAATCAGTTTTGGGCCAGGTGTGATGGTACATGGCTATAGTCCCAGCATTCTAGGGGCCTGGGGCAGGAGGATTGAAAGTTGGAGCCTAGCCTCGGCAATTTAGGGAGACCTTGTTTCAAAATAAAAAATAGAAATGGCTGGGGTGTACCTCAGTGGGAAAGCCCTGGTTCAATTTCCAGCAGCACCACAATAAAGAAAGAAAGAGAGAGAAGAAATTAATCAGTTTTGTGCTGGTATTAGGAGAATACAAGATGGAGAAGACCAAGTCCTTGCTTTCATAGAACTCATAGTCAAGTAGAGCAGGCAATCATTGATTTATTGGTTTGGATTTATATGTTGTTTGTTGGATGCCAAAATAATGATTGATTTGGACTTTGAGAGACATTAAAAGATCTTACAGCCCATATACCATATAGTTCTTATGGCACTGTGGAAGATGATTTAGAATAGGAGGCAAGCCTGAATATGTAAAGGCTGTTTTAACAGTGCAGGTGTCTGGAGACAATGAGGCAAGGAAATTGAAGTACTAGTGGTAGAGTTCTAATGCCTTATACTTCATCCCATCACTGCTACAGTGTTCTTTCCAATCTGCCTGATTGCAGACTATCTTTTTAAATTCATTTTACCTTCTGGTGCCTGTATCCTTTTACCTAACACAACTGCCTTTACCATGTTGAATTATTTTTTTCCTTTGTGACCTTGAGCAGTAATTTTAGTGGTCTTTGAATACTAAGATTTCTCATATGTAAAATGAAGATGACAAGCCAGTCATGGTGGCACACACCTATAATCTCAGCACTTTGGGAGGCTGAGGCAGAAGGATTGCAAGTTTGAGTCCAGCCTGGGCCATTTAGTGACTCAGTGAGACCCTGTCTCAAAATAAAAAATAAAAATAAAGGCTGAGGATATAGCTCAGTGTGAAAGCCCTGGGTTTAATACCCAGTATCATAAAAAAAAGAAAAAGATATAACAATAGCCTCATAGGGTTATTGTCAGAATAAATGAGATAACATGAAAAGTGCTTATCTTATAAAATGATCTCACCTTATATTTTTAGTTTGAAAAATCAATCCCAACTCCTTAGACCCAATTTAGAAAAATCGTCACAGTTTTCTCCGATTAATTCAGTTCTGTATAAATTATTCATGCTGAAAATGCTCCTTCCTTTTTTAACACATAATCTGAGATTATTTCTTGGGCTTTTGGGACATCTTGAATAGACCATTTAGATGCTTTAATACAGGGTAACTTTGACAATTAAAGAAATTATGTAGGCCGTTGTGAAGGCAGGCCTATAATACCAGCCCTCTGGGAAACTGAGATGGGAGGATCTCCAATTTGAGACCAGCCTGGGCAACTTACCAACTTAGTGAGACTCTGCCTCAAAAATTAAAAAGGGGCTGGGGATAATAGCTCAATGTGAAGACCCTGGTTTAAATCCTCAGTACCACCAAAGGGGAAAAGAAAACAAAAAAACAAAAAAACAACAACAAAAAAGAAAGAAATTATGTAAGACTAACAGGGCTGTGAAACTGGAAGGATCAATTTTTATCAGTTATATATGTGTTTGTATATATACATTTCAAATATGAGTTCTCTTTGATTAATAGCTTTATATCCTTAATGTATTTTATTATTATACTTTTCCTCCTCTGTTGGCTTGCTGGTTAGTCTTTTATAATTTTTAAATGATTATTGTAGGCAGTAGAATACATAGCCTAGACATTACAGTGTACCTGAAATTGGTATGTTTACACCTTCCTAAAAATGTAAGACTATCATTAATGACAATAGCCCCCTTCTGCCTTGTAGTGTGTTATCATTATGTATTGTTTTTAGCTTTGAACATACATTTATCTCTCTTCATACTAGTTACCCTTCTGGATGTTCTTCCTTTTTTCCTGCTTCATGGTTTCAAAGTGACTAGGTTTCTATTAGTTGAATTCTCTTTGCTGTTTTCATTAGTGTACATGTATTGCTGACAAATTTTCACCTTTTGTATACCTGAAATCTCTTTATTTTGCCCTTATTTTTTTAAAGGTTATTTCGACTAGATCTTGAATTCTAGATTCACAATGTCTTTTATATTTTCCATCCTTTTCATTTCTGTACTTCAATCTGGGTAATTTATACTGGTCTGAATTCTAGTTCAATAATTCTCTGTGGAGATGTGTCTAATTTGCTATTAAATTAATTGATTGTTTTTTCTCTTTGAGAATTTGTATGTGAAATCTGAATATATTTTATGTCTTCATTGAAATTCTTTTTTCTAGTTTTGTGTACATATTAACCATTGTTATTTTAAAGTCTTTGAAGGTTTATTTCTATGATCTTTATTTCTGGCTTTCAGTTATTTGGTCATAATTTTTTAAAACATACTTTATTTTTAATTAAATTCTGAATATTTTGTATTTAAAGGTTTAGCTACTTTCATTTTCTTTTAAAGAGGATTAAATTAGGACACACAGATAAGGTGTAAGCATATTACTTTAATCTTATAAACAATTGGTTTTGCTTTATTAGGGATGATTTATGTCCATTTTATTTTTGTCCCTACTTCTGGAATGTGGCTCTTCTAGGTTCCAGTTGAAAGCCTGTGGTATATTCCAATGGTATTACACCTTGGCAGACCTTAAACTTCAGTGTCTGTCTAGTTAGCATTGTTTGGCTAATAAAATCTATTTAGCTTCCTAACTTCCCAGCTGTTCCTCTGCTGGGTGTCATAGAATTTCACACACTATTCATGTAATTTAGGAACTGGAAAATGTCCTAAGGGAGTTTGCATATAGACTTTTGGAATCACTTGCCTGTAGTACTTGTTTTATTCATTGTTCTGCCCCCTAATTCCCAACTGCTTTGACTCCCCTACTCTCTGTTCCCTATTTCTTTGTACCAGGGAGACTTGTGTTTTCTGCTGACGTTTTCTTCCCCTACAATGTCAGTTATCAAATAACCTCAGGTAAAAGCTGGCATAAATGTAGAGCTCACCTTCTAGCTGGAATTTAATTCCCTCTGTCAGGAATTTTAGCTTTCAAGTTCAGCCTGCAGTGTTTGCTCTGCAAAGCTTCTGAGCAGTTGTTTTATGTACAGGTTGAGCATACTTAATCTGAAAATCAGAACTGCTCCAAAATTCAAAACCTTTTGAGTAGTAGCATGACACTACTCCACACTTTACTTTGTGTGATGGGTCACAGTCAGAGTGGAGGTGCTAAGACTATTATATAAAATTCCTTCAGGCTGAATGTGAAACAAATGATCTTGGGGTTTAGACTTGGATCACATCCCCAAGATACCTCATTGTATGTGTAAAAATATTCCCGAATCCGAAAATCTGAAACATCCTAAGCATGTCAAATAAGAGATATTCAACCTGTGTTTCCTCTAGCCTTTGTGGTGGGAAAAGTAATACAAACTACTTTAAAACTATAAATAGAAATCTCCATGATGTAGTTTATATAATTTCTTTGTAAACAAGCATTATATAAACAGTGATTCACCTAGGAGTGCCTCATATTACTGCCCACAGACCTGTAAGGAATCAGCAGATGTTTCATGTATCCTAGCTGGTCAAGAAAAGTCACAGGGAAGAATAACAGAAATAAAATGTTCTTTTCCCTACTTCCTCAGCATTTTTTTGTTTAAAAAAACAAGATGCCCTCCCCGTTTAATATAAAATGTTTGGTGGCCTGGTGTTACATTTAACATATGAAGCATTCCTAAGACTCATGTATTGAAGGCTTAACTCCCCAGTGTAGCAGTGTTCAGAGGTGAGTACTAGAGGGGTGACTGGATCATGTGGATACTGAATGGGCTGTTGGGAATTGGTGCCCAGCTAGAGGAAGTAAGTCACTAGGGGTGTGCCTTTGAAGGGTATATCTTGTTTCTTGTCTTTCTCTTTGGCGCTTTCTCTCTCTCTCCCCCTCTCCCTCTCTCCCTCTCTCTCTCTCTACCCCTCTCCCTCTCTCTCTCTCTCCCCCTCTTTCCCCCCTTCTCTCTCCCTACCCCTCTCTCTCCCTCCCCCCTCTCCTCCTCCCCCTCCCTCTCCCTCTCTCTCTCTCTCTCTCTCTCCTCCTCCACTAAGCCCTTCCACAGCGATGATTTGCCTTAGCTTAGGCTCACTGCAATGGAGCCAGCCATGGACTGAAACCTCTGAAACAATGAGCCAAAATAAATCTGTCCTCTTCTAGGTTGTTTTTCTCAGATATTTTTATCATAGTGAAAAGAAGTTGAGTAACATACCAAGGGATGTAGCTCAGTGCTAAAATGTTTGCATAGCTTGCATGAGGCCCTTCATGAAAGAAAGAGAAGGGGAGAGTCGGGAAGGGAAGGAGAAAGAGAGAAGGAGAGAAAGAAGGGAGGGAGGGGATTTTCCTAGATTTTCTTACTGTTGATTCTAGTTGAAAACAGTCCTATAGTTAGTTATATTTTTCCATGTCCTCTCTGTATCTCCTTCAGGTTAATTAAATGGCAATTTTTGTTTGTTTGTTTTCTTTATTAGGAGCGTAGAGTGGCAGCTCTCCGAGAAATTGTTCGACTCTTAAGACCTGGTGGAAAGGCACTCATTTATGTCTGGGCAATGGAACAAGAGCATAATAATCAGAAGTCCAAGTATCTTAGAGAAAACAGAATTAGCCAGGAGAAGAAAGAGGAGATAAAGTGTGATAAATCCACACAAGGATTGCTTGAGCAGAAATCTGACATTGGCAGTCAAAACTCAGCATCTTCTGTCCTCTCCATTGATTACATTCAGGAGAAAGAATCCAGTTCAAAGACAGTTACTAATTCTGAGCTGCCTATTCATACTAACAGGACTTCTTTTCATTCTCAAGATGTACTAGTTCCCTGGCATCTTAAGACAAAGACTGGTAAAAACAAACCTGTTGAGCCCTTTGGTTCTGTAGGATCCTGTGACCCAAGTCCTGTGTTTCATCGGTACTACCATGTGTTCCGTGATGGAGAATTGGAAGCTACCTGCCAGACTTTGAGCAATGTCATCATTCTGCAAAGCTACTATGATCAGGGAAACTGGTGTATTATTCTTCAAAAGGTCTGATTATGTCTATGAGCATGTCATATGTAGAGAAGAAATACTAGGCTTTTAAAAAAAATTTTTTTATTTTTATTTTTTGGTACTGGGGATCAAACTCAGGTCCTTGCACTTGCGAGGCAGGTGGCGGAACCACTGAGCTAAATCCCTGGCCCTCAGCTTTTTTTTAACAGGAGACTAAATTAATTGCCCCTTTAATTAAAGAAAAGAACTTGGAAATGTACAAAAGGAGAGGTCCTTAGGACACATTCAGTCTGATACTGTTTACTGATTTCATAAATGTAGGTTTCTCCTACAGTCCAACTAAGGATGGTGTTTAAAAGTAATTGAAGTAATTTGTGAAGCGTTTGGGATCCTTGCATAATATTACCGCATTGTGAAGATGATCTTTTGATATAAAATGTTATTGAAGGACCTTAGTAAAGTAATACAACATTTTAATAAAGATAATATTCCTGAAGTTTTATCTATGACTATTAGCTTCTTAAAGTCATAGCCATGATTTTATCATCACATTTTATTAGCATGTGACTTAACACATGGGTGCTCGGTAAAATTTTAGTTAATACCCATAAGTTAATAGGAGCTTCATTCACCAAGTATTTATTAAATCCCTATCATGTACCAGATGCTATTTTAAGTACCAGGGATGGAACAGTGAACAGAAAGAACAGAGGCTGGGGATATAGCTCAGAGGTAGGGTTTATCCTTGGCTTGTGTGAGTTCCTGAATCTAATCCCTACCACTGTAAGAAACGAAAAGAAGAAAACCCTTGCACTCATGAAGCTTACATTCTAGAGGGACAGATAGACAATAAGTAAATAAATAAATACTGTGGGCAAGATAGTGGTAAATATCATGAAAAAATAAAATACCATGGGAAGATTATCTTATAAATGGCTGAAATAATTATTAGCTCTGACTAATTTATTACCAAGAGTTAAGTGGTATTCCTAATTCATTGATCTAGGTGTTAAGAGACAACCTGAATAAATTATGGTTGCCTGGACAATTACATATCTTGCTATTAATGTCAATGATGTACCATCTCCAAGTATCAAACTTCCAGAATATGTTATTATTAATAATAGGTCTTAAATGAGATAATGAACATGTTGTCATGGAATTTCCATGCAAGATCAAGATATACTGTTCACTCCAAATGAATGTTTACGATTCATGATATTAGAAGAAAGACTATAGGGTGAAAAATAGTTTTATTTCCAACATAAATTCTAGGACTTCACACTAAAATTTGAAGTATGATCCAGGCCAATAAATTTTAGAATGTAGATGAAATACATAATTTTCTAGGAAGATGAAAAATATTAAAATTGACTCAGGAAAAAGAAAAGATATTCAAAATAGCACAATTTAGAAGTTGGCTCTAGAATCAGAGTTCCTGAAAGTTGAATTCTAGATCTGCCATTTAGTAGCTGTGAATTTGGGTGAATTTCTTAACTTTTTGTAAAATTGGGAGAGTTGTTAGGAAAATTCATTGAAATAATACTTGTGTAGGAGTTCTATTATGTCAGGAATATAGTATGCATTGGGGAAATGTTTCTTATTCTACCCCTTAAGATGGCCTAGAGGAGTTTTAGGTAGTGAGTGGTACCAAGTCTAATCTGTTAATTATATAATAAAATATGTATATATGCCTGTTCTTGTCAATTAAGGCAGATGTGTCAAGATCTCCTGCAATGATTATGGAATCTGAAATTTAGTCATATGTGTTGTAGTATCATGGCAATTTTATGCCTGTTTATATTTTAGCATCTGACTTCCTAAACACCCTCCCTGGCTGCTGTGTGGAGATTAGACAGTAAAAGGATAATGGAAGTTGGGGGACCAGTGAGGAGGCTTTTGCCTCCTAACCTCCATAATGCAGATGGGAGATGATTGGATTGCAAGTGTGATAGTGGAGGTAGTGAGAAATAATAGGGGTTTGACTATAAAATTTGGAGGTAGAACCCTCAGGATTTCTGATAAGTTGGATATAGGTGTGAGACAATAGAAGGAGTCAATAAGGTTCACATCTGTGTGTGTGGAACTCCTAGAGCAGTGATGGTGAACCTTTTAGAGTTTTCAGTGATACAGCCCACTGCAGCACGTGTGCCATAGGTTCACCACCACTGTCCTGGAGTGTGTCTCGTGGAGTTGTCATTCTTTAGTTTAAATGTAGTTTTGTTTTGTCTTGTCCTTTTATTCTCCTCTTTCCTTTTAGGCATGGGTCTGCTATGGTGCTACTTGGAGCTGATCTTCCCGATAATATATCTGCAGATAAACCCAGCAATTATTTTGAGCTCAGATATGCCATGGACTATTGGGCAGCAGGATGTGCAGTCAGTGCATGAAAATAGAAAACTGGAATGCAAGGCAAGGATTGTGATCATAAATTCCTTCAGGGACCATTAGAGCGAGACAAAAACACATTCAGGGATTCCAAATCATTGTAAGCAATGGAAAGGGAGGTGATTGATGCCACTTTATTTTCAGTAAATCCCTAAAAATGAACTGATTTCCCAAGAAGAACCAGGCATGCATGAGCATAACCTTCAAATACCCTTTATAGAAACAAGGGGGAAATACATGATGATGAAAAAAGAGAGTTAAGAGCTTTATTGCTGCCTTACCTTCTGACATAGCTCTATTTACAGTTCCCCCAAAACTTAAGAAATATGTGTGAAGAGGGGAAAAACAGGATGTTTTATCAGACCAGAAAGTTTCATTGTCTTCACTTTTGCAAAAGCAACTACAGTTGGGAGAAAGCATCTAATTCATTTTTTTAAGAACGTCTACTCTGGCTTTTTTAGTTTCCAGCAAGGAAAATCAGTCATTTAAGGAAATGAAAGCCCTTAAAAGCTGTTTTAAAGGAACAACATGAAAGCTAAGAGATTTCTGTCAAGTTAAGCCTGTGGTCCATGAATACACTTCCAAGGGTTTTTGAAATGACCTGCAGTTATATGCAAAACTTTCTATGTCGTTGCATGTGTACATCTTCTTTGCAAGAGGGTCCATATATTTGTCAGCTTTCCACAAAAGTTTAGATCCAGGTGTGATCTTCTCTTGCTTATGCTCATGTGATTTAAAGACAGCCTGAGTCTAAGCACAGGATGTAAAGGTGCTGCCTGGATTTTTGCAGTATATAAGCTTCCAAATGTGACCAGCATGTGTGTGTGAAGGGGTGGTATATCTCGGTGATTATTATCTGGGAGCAGTCCCTAACCCAGCCCTTTAGATCCTACATGGAGAAAGGATTATAAGTACAAACTCAAAGAGTATGTGGTGTATTTAAGTTTTATCTGTAATTATTAACCTTGGACAGGGATAGGAAACATAAGGTAAGTGTTAACCAGGATACTGTGGATCTTCCTTCACGAACCTTCCTTTTCTTTTTTCTTGATAATAAATATAAGAATCCATACTTATAAATGTCCCTGTTAAGTATAAAGTAGTGAAACATCTACACTTTGAGGCAGACCAGAGGAAACAGTAGTTTAAAAAAATTTCACAGATTTGTCACTGGTTACTAGAGTGTATAGATATAAGATTGTTAGTATCTCTTGTACTGACCTGTTGTACTACCGTGGTGGCAGAGGAATTGTATGCCAGTTGCTTTAGGCTTGGGCTTGTACCTAACTGTATAGCCAGGGCAATGGAATTCTTTGAATGGCTTCAATCTATCAGACTCTTGTGTACCTTTGAATATCATAAGTCTCACACAAACTATGAGAAAATTGGGAAATTTGGGAATTGAAAATTCCCAAAGGATATTTGGGTTATACTAACCAGAATGTCAGCTGGGCTACCATAAGCAAGGAATTTTATATTGCTCTAAATCTGCTCTAGAAAAAAAGGATACAAATGAATTCACACTATACAGGCTTGCAACATTGACACATTATAGATTTCTGGTAAAGCAGAAATGACGCGGCAACATCATTTGGCCAGGATCATTATACCCACAAGAGTAATAGTGATGTCTACACTGATAGGAGGAACAATAGGAACTACTTTGGTTGAAAGCAGCAGCTAGAAAGACTTCAGTGCCCAGTGATGACAGCAGGAGTAAAGATGATAGCAGTGTTCCCCCCAAGGAGATCTCAAACTTGTGAGGAGACCTCAATATCCTTAAAGAGCTTTGTGGTCACTCCTCTTTAAATCTAGCTGAAACTGATGCCAACAAACTTTAAATGGCATTGGGGATAATTGGGTCCCCAGGTGGCAAGGGCTAATTGATGGCATTTAATCACCAAAAAGTAAGTTGAGTTATCACAGTGGATAGTGGAATTAACTGACTCCCAGAGACCTGTGGCATTTGTCTAGTTCACTATGGTATTCCTAAAAAGAAACAGAAAAGAATCTACTAAATTCTTGATATGTACAAGTAGAAACATTCTTAGATTCAAGTCTTAGCTTGAATCACCAAAACAGAGTTACAGTCCATAGATCAATTCCCATAATTGAGGCAGTTTATAGACCCTGAACCCTTTGAATGAATGATAGCTTGGGTCCTTTTGAGAGGTACCTTACTACATTGTCAAAAACTTTATCCTGTTAATATTTCTCCCAAATATCTGTAAAGTGACCTATGAGCTTTAGCCAGGGTGACTGTGCGTTGGAGAAAAGGAAATCATCAGCCTTTGTTAGACTACTGGACATTGATCCTAATTCCAAGAAACTCAAAATGTCACAAGAGTAGAGTTTTGGGGCAACCCATTCGAGACCCCTCCTGTCTCTCAGGAGCTATTCTTATTCCCCACTACTATTCCCCAATACATTTTCCTACTCAACAAAAAAACTCAAGAAGAGTAGAGTTTTGTAGAGTTTACGTGGTCAGTGGACTTGTAGTACATGTCCATCTCACAGTGGGACTAGTAGATTCTCAAAACCATAAGTGTGGTTATCTCCTTATCGCCTCAGTTCCAGAATGAATAATTGGAGCAGACACACTCAGCAATTGGTTCCCTGACCTGTGGAGTGTGGACTGTTACACAAAAGGCCAAGCAGAAGCATGAAATACCTGCCTAGTAAAGTAGTTAGATAGCAAGCCCATACTCCTTGAGAGATTGCAGAGATTAGTGCCACCTTCAAAGATCAGAAGTGCATGTTCTTAAAGGAGGGAGGAATGGTGAGTCCCACCATATTCCATTTCAATTCATCTTTTTGGCCAGTATGGAATACATATGAATCTTGGAGATGACAGTGGATTACTAGAAACTTAACCACGTGGTTACTCCAAGTGCAGCTGCTGTTTCAGATGTGCTTTTATTATTTGAGAAAATTAACATCCTCCCTTGTTACCTGCTTTGCAACTAAATTAACTACCAAAATATATTTACAACTTGTTTTGCTTTATCTTAGATTATGTTAACTAAATGTTGTATTATTTGAGTAGTTTAAAAGTTAATTATTAGTTCTTTTAGTAATAGGGAGCAAGGCAGGTTTTGGATCCTTGATCTGCACAAAGCACGGATCTTTAATAAATCTGAAATTGTGATTTATTTAGCAATAATGATAGCTCCTCAAGGCCTCACAGAAGGCACACCCTCATGACCAGTTATTCAGATGTCTTCCCAGTCCTCTTCAGCTTTTATTGATTATTTTCTGCCCCATACCACATACAGTCTGGTCCTCAAAATTTAGGACCATGAATTGATTCTGTCTTGTGCTGTTCACAATCGCTTCACATATGTAGGTCACCGAGTCCCTCTGACTACTATTCCTGAATATTTCATGTATTAATCCCCACCCTCTGCTTCAAGCCTCACCTCTCTGTGATTTTCTATACACTGCCAAAGTAAGTTTTATAAAATCTAAAGAACTCTCTCATTAACTGAACAGCGTGACTTCTAATTCTTAACAGTGAAATTCAAAATCCTGTAAATATGAACTTTTCATTAAAGAATATGGAATGTGAAATAAAATAGTCAGTTGGTGTTTAAGAAACAGAGAGCCTATACTCTTAAATTCAGTTTAAACTAGACACAAAGGCTTGGTTGGTATACAGTGCTCTGTCCTCTTTATACATAATGCTACACAGGGAAGTAAAGACTCCCGTAACAAATGAAAATTCTATATGCCTCCAGTTATAGAACAACTTTCTTTATATATCCTGCTTGGGAAATAAATAGACCCAAGAAGTCTTCTTGGATTACACTAAGTTCATACTTTCAAGTCAGGATATTGTCTACATATGACCTATCAGAGTTTATGTTAAATGGAAGTTTCTATCCTGGGTGGCACTAAAATGATACTTTTAGACTTTCAAGGTTGTGAAATTTTATTTTAAATACTTAAGCAGTGTCCTATAGAAGCAGGCCATCCTTTTCTAACCTAAGCAGAGATTTTCTTTCCAGGTGGCCTTAGAACATTGTCGTAGTCAACTAAATAAAATGCCAGCAGAGTCTCTCATGAGAGAAATTTGGTTTGAAAATTCTGAACCAAATGAGTTCCTCCAAAGTCCTTCTGAAATGAAAAAGGCTGTAAGTAACCTCTGTGCTTCCAGGAGAGAAGTACAAAGCCAGCACACCTGTCTCAATTGAAAGAGAGGAAGACTGCACTGACCATTGAACAGACGTCTGCTCAGCCCAGTCTGCTGGTCTGGAAACCAACAGATGGGGTTTTAAAAAAGCAACTTTCACAGTTGCAGAGAAAATGCTCTTGGGCATGAGGGCAGTGATACATACTCACCAAAAAGATTTTTCCTCTCTATTAATTTTTATTGTTGAATTATCATTTTACAAGAGTAAAATGGCCCTTTGGAGGTTTTCCTACAATCTCCATGTGGTGCATAATCATTTAGAGGAGTATTTTTCAAAATGTGACCCCTTTACCACCCACATAAGAACTACTTGGCAATGCCTAAAGAAAGTTAGGTTCCTAGGCCTGTGAGCTGGAATCTCTGAGGCTGGAACCCCAGAGTGCATTTGTCAAGCTCCCTAGGTTTGTGTGTGCTAATGGTGAAAAAGGAATTAATTCTGTTTTAAATATTTCCCACAATAGAATTATAGGGACCAGGAGACCTACCTATTGTGTAATTTACCAATTGTGTGAGCCTTAGAAAAAACTCACATATACTCTCTGAACCAATATTTCCTCATGTATAATTTAGGATAATAAAGCCTCCATTATACAATGAATAAAAAGGATGAAGAAGAGGCTTATGGAAGAACTTAGGAAACTGCAAAGATCTAATTAAATGATAATAGACTGCTGTAACAATAACATTATGTAAGTGGGACAACTTGGTGAATTTAAAGGAAGGCTGTGATAATACTGCATTTGGTTAGGGGAATCAGAGAAGACTTTATAGGAAAGGCATTTTGGCTGGGTCTGGAAGAATGAAAGATTTCAATAGATATAAATGGTTAGAGAATTATGAAGAGGTAAAAGCAAAGTCTGGTTTGACTAGAACAATGGTTCTCTACCTTGTTGCACATCAGGATCACCTGGGGAGTCTTTCAAAATATAGATGTTGGTAGCTGGACATGGCAAACCCAGCACTTGGAAGGGTGAGGCAGGAGGATCGCCAAGAGGTTGAGGCTAACATGGACTAATAGTGACTTCTGGGCCAGCCTGGACTGCATAGCGAGACTCTGTCTCAGAAAATCAAAACAAAAATAGATGTTGAGCCAGATACAAACAGTTTAAAGAAACAATTCAAGAAGAGTGATCTGATGGTGTATACCGAATGGATTGGGGTAGTAGCAGATGAAAGTGCCTATTACTCTGATTTGATCATTACACACTGTGTACATGTACAAATATGTCTCAACATAAAAACAGAAAAAAGAAAGCATGGATAGTAATATTGATGTTGAAATCAGACTATCTCATATTCTTACATAACTTAACCTGTTTGAGCCTTTCTTGCCGGACACATCTGTAAAATGAGAATAATTACAATACCTTCCTTATAGGGTTGTTGGAAAGATTAAGAGTTAAATTGCTTGGTTTGAATAACACATTCACTGAATGTGAGTTTTTCTTCTCTCCCTCTTGTTCCTTATATTGTTCTCTTTTCTTCCCTCTTTCTAATAAGTTGTCATTTAATAAATATACCCTCTCATTTTTCAATTTCTTCTTATGGTTGTTTTCCTGTTAGTGTTTGGTCAGCCTAACCATCCACATACTCAATGTCTCATTCCTAATTATACCCGACTTCCACCCTAATCCTACCAATGATCTTATTACCTGATGTCTGAAGTAGTCAAAATGACACTCTTCAACAGATGCATGCATTTTTAATCATAGCAAGCCTCTAATCTACCTAACCTAAGGCCGGCCCCCGCAACCAAACAGGTGACTGTGATGTCTCCTCCTATAATCATAAAGAAAATCCTCAGGAAAAGCAGATTCATTTTAATAAAATTACAAGTACAGCATAACAAGTAAAGTAAATCTGCTGCAGAGGTACGGGGGCTCATTATGTTACAAGCATATGTGATACAGGACAATGTTGTATAGAAATATGTCACTTAATGTACAATGAACTTTACATGTGAGAAAAAATAGATATATATATAGTGTTCCATTCCCTTTCCTCTTTGATTACAGGATTAAAAATCTGCCAGTTGTAGGTGCAGCCAACCCAGGTACTGGACCAGTTGAAGACTCATCAGGGCAAACAATGGGATTTTTAAACCACTGAGATAGGTGGGATCAGTTGGCTCCAAGCCACATACTAATCCAGTAGAAAGAGCCCAAACAACACTAGTAAGTCACCAAGATCAAGGAAGTTTAGCCAGTTCTTTTCTGATTAGGGCAGAGGTCATGTCAAGGGTCATTGTTAGTATTCTGACAGTGATCAGAATCATATACATCAGGAGAGCCACTCAGTGTAATGTGAGAGATAACAAAAGTGGGGTCCAAGCCCAGAGAGAGGAAAAGGAAAGCCCAGAACCCTCCTTTAACTGACCTGAGGTTCTGGACCAGATTCTAGTTCTATAATCCAGCCCCAGTTTTACCCCAATCTCATCAGACGGATGAGGATGTGAAAGAAAAGCATTCTGTGATCCAGATTAGCACCCACAAATACCAGATACTGGGTCAAGAGTGTCATTGAATTTCCTAATATTTGAAGTAGTTCAAGTATACTGCTAGCTTAGATTTTAAGTATTGGGGCCAGGAATGTAGCTCAGCCATGCAGCATCTGCCTGGCAAGCTTGAGGCCCTGAGTTTGATTCCCAGGACACACACACACACACACACACACATTTTTTTAAAATGTCACTAGATTTTAAGTGTTGGGTGAGGTTGAACATGTTGGGGTGAGGGGCAGACTTTTAGTGTTCACAGTAGCCAGAGGGAGAGGGAATATTTTCAAACTGATTCTACCAAGATAATAGAGAATAATGAAAATGTTCAGCATGGTGACATCTCTAACCTTAAAAATCAATAACATTTAAAATTCAGTTAAACACATTAGTTGTTATCTAATGTGAACCAGATGAGGCAAAGGTGATGGAAATGAGGACTTCCAAATCTTTGTTACTGACTTTAACACGTTCATGGTCAGAGAAGCCTCTTGGCCTTTCCTTGAACTTTACCTTCAAGTAAAGATAGGCAACCTTATGTTGAAAAAGAATAAAGATTGACTTAATGTAATGAGTTGCCACACGATTTATCATCCAATCTAGGAGGCTTTCAAAATTTTAAGGGTGCTTGATCTTCTTAACCATCAGGTCAGCAGATATAAATTAAATTGTTCCATGTGAATGGAACATATGGTCATTCTACACACAAAGTATGTTTCAACTTTAAAGACATGCATACTAGTACAGTTGCATGTTACTGTAATAATTACCATTAATTCATGTATGTTACTATTTGTGTTGGGTTTCTTCAGCCTACATGCATTTAAGTGCAATCTTGTAGATTTTCAAGGTTTTTTCAAGATTTTCTTGACTGTTTGATGTTTATCTTACTCACTGACAGAATTTAACCTCTACAAAATGTGGCCTCATATACAGATAAGCATTTTCAAACAAGTTCTCTTATCTAGGCCCATCAACAGTTAGGCCCATCAATCTGTTAAAACTGTTTTTAAAACTTTTGATTTCTTGCAAGACTTAGCATAAGTTCCAAATAAAAGAATTTTGGAAAAGAGTATTTTTAAACTGTAAGTAGGTAAATTCAATTTCTTTCCTTTTGAAAAAAAGGTGTTTTCCGTGTTCATTCTGTCCTGAACATAGATTTGGTCAAGATAGAGCAAAAGGTAGTGAAGTTTGATATTTATTAATAGTAGGAAAAGAACCATGCTGTGCAGAGCAAGTTTGGGCCAATTAAAAGTAGGAAAAGAAGTGCACTCTGCAGGGTGAGGGTGGACCACTGTGAGAGATAACACAGAGGCATTTAAAATTTTTTGATTGACACGTGTAATTGTACATATTTATGAGATACAGTGTGATAATTTGATACCTGTATACAATGTGTAATGATCAAATTGGGGTAATTAGCATTTACATCTCCTTAAACATTTATCATTTCTTTTTTATGGTTCGAATATGTTTGCCATACAAAATAATTACATTTATTTTGGGGGAATTGGTACATATAGAGATCACATCTTAATCATTTTTTGCTTCTCCTTCTCCCTGCTCTGCTCTCTTCCCCAGACCCTCTTCTTATTTCCACAAAGTCTACCTCCCTGTTTCCTATCATCTTTTATTTTTCTCTTTATTTATATTTTGTGTTTCTCATATAAGAGAAACCATGGGATATTTATTCTTTTGTACATGATTCTGAAGATTGACAAAGACAAATAATGAAATATTTATCTTTGTCCTATATAGCTTGTTTTTCAGAGTACCAAGAAGTTGATTAGGGAAACTTTTTTTTTTTTGGATACAGGGTCTTGCTTTATAGTGCAGATTGGCCTTGAACTCACTATGTATCCCAGGCTGGCCTTGAAATTATGGAGATCCTCCTGCCTCAGCCTCCCAAGAGCTGGGATTACAAGCATGCAACACCATGCCTGGCTTGGGAAAGTTCTTTACAGAATAACTCCATCTAAGAAACACAGAGAGAGTGGTAGAATTTGTAAACCACCATTTTATAAGCCCTAAAAAAATGATGGATTTTGATGATTATCAGTGGATGCAAAGCTATTAGGCTGATGGGGACCCTGACAATGGATGAATCCATTTACCAATTTTAACATCGTTATGGTTTATATCTAGATGTCCCCCCAAAGCCTCATGTGCTTACAGGTAGGACTTTGGGAGGTGACTGGATTATGAGAATTATCGCTGACTTGCTGTTAGGATGTGGGGGTCTGATCAGAAAAGGAAGGTCAAAACTGAGAGAAATCCAGGTTAGATTACTTTTAAACTCTAAATCATATATCTTATTTAGTGCATTTGTAATTATTTTGTTTTCAGGATTATGTGCCCTGCTTGTCTTTAGATTGTGTATTAGGTGAACGGCACACTAAATATATGTGTGATTCATTAAAAAAAAAAAAAAAAGGAAGGTCACTGGGGTCATGACCTGGAAGGGTTTGTCTCCCTCCCTGCCTCTGTCCTTCCTCTTTCTCTGCTTCCTGTCTGCCATACCCCTCTGATATGCTGTCCTGCCTTGAAGACAGCCTACTACAGACTGGAAGAATGGTACAAACTGCCAAAATAAACCTTTTCTTTTTTAGTTTGGTGGGGTCAGATATTTGTCTCAGTGACAAGACAAGTGACTGTGATAATCATGAAAAGTAGAACTACTATAAATATGCAAGACATGTAATAGGAACTAGAGAAAAACATTTTTGCAAACAATATTGAACTGAAAAAATCCTGTCAAACCTCTCAGTCTACCAATTTATAGCTGATAAGGGATAAAGATATATAGTAAAATAAAAATTTTAAAAAGGTGCAGTTGGCTAAATCCAGAACATTAGGAATTTGAAAGAAAAGAGACCCAATTCTTCAATAAATGGTATGAAAAATAAAAAAGGGTAAGTGAAAATTGTTACTGATAAAGAGACCTAAGTCTGTCTTCACTTTTTTTTTTTCCCTTTCTTTCCCTCCCTGAACAATTCAGTGCTAAAGTCATTTGGTAGGCTGAGCAAGGTTTGCATCCATGTAGGTGAGTGGTGAGAAGTGGTTCTGAGCATAAACAGGGAAATAAGGGTGCCTGTGTGGTGTGAGGGGCACCTGGAACACGGGTATCAGAGCACAAGCAGGGTGAGAAGTGCATCTGTTTGGGAGAGTGGTCCAGTTTAGGGTATTGCAGCTTGAGTAGGGTAACCTAGGACAGGATGTGAGGGCTGCAGTGGGGAAAGGAGGACTTTCATGCAAAGGAGCAGGTAGTGATGGCAACAGGAAGTTGGTTCCATACTGGATAATTGATCAAATTAATTAAATACAGAAATTAAGTTTATTCCTTTTGGAGAATGGAGTCACAAATATGGAAAAAAATTAAGCCAGTGGTGTTCAGAATGAGATATTGGTATGAATTTATAGTTTTCAATAGATAGGTAAATATAGTTATATGTATCTCTGTCATTATCTATACCTGTAGTTCTCCCTAGTTCTGCCCAATTGAGAGGACCTGGGCCTACAGTAAACAATAACCATCAAGAAATCCCCCTATCATTTTATGTTTCAAGAATTGACTTTTGTTTCTGTGTTCTAGGAAACTGTCACAAAGCCTGCTCGTGGAATCCTTCAAACCTGGTTTTTCTAGCCTTGTTTATTCCTCCCAAAAAAAGAAAAGCTCTTTCTGCCTGACTTTGAGAACTTCACAGATCTTAGTTTCAGAATGGTCTCCCTATTACAATTAACCCCTTCTCATATTGCAATAGTCTTTTAAAATAAAGTCTTTCTTTACCTAAATTTGGATTTTTTTTTTTACTTGACATCTTCTGAATGTCATTTTAAATTAAAGTAAACCAGGGATTCTTAGAAAGGTCAAATTCTAGGCTTAAGCAAAGAAAGTAGAAGATAAACATGAATCATCTTCTTGTACTAGAAAGTGAGGAGATACTACAAGAATATGGGTACCTGTTCCACAAGACAAAGAAATCACCTTGAGGGGGCTCTCACTGGCTAAACCTGGAACAATTTGAGAATCAAAATAATACCAATAATTTATTATCTCACTGAGTAAAAGAGGAATCCACTATCTTGAGCTCATGTGATATAAAAATAAATGGATCATTACAACATTTGATACAGAATTTAGTTTCAAAGAATCACTCTATATAAACTTACAACTTTACAGTGCAGGAGCTTGACAGACTTTATGTAAGTGATCAGAGTGAACAGCACCAGTGATGGAAAGCAGGGAAATGATGCAGTAGCCAATAAGATGCAGTGGGAAGGTGGCTTTACGTATGCAAATCCCGCTGATGTTGCCTAATCTGACTCTAATCATAAACAAGTTTCCGTCAAACCCAAGTTGAGTGACACTGAATAAAACAATTGTCCTGCAATCTCCATGAGTTTTTGTAGTTAGTTGTGACCATGTGACTTGACCTACTTCTGGCTCCTAAGATTTAAATGGAAGAACTTGGACTAGATTTTAGGGAAAGCCATCATTTTCCTAAAAAAAATGGGATTGGCTTTGTTGGCGTACACTTTTGCCCTTTGGTTCTTTCTCTTTATACCTGTGTCTAATACATGCCATGCACAGATGTGAAAGAATGTGATGTTCTGCTTGTGACTATGAAGCCTAAAGTAACAGACTATGGCAAAGCAGAAAGTGAAACAATCTGGTTCCTTCAGTGCTGCACCAGACTGGACCAGTTACCTTATTACCCTACCTCTTATTTTTAAAAATATGTGATTGGATTTCTATTAGGTGTGGACTAATGTAAACCTACCCAAACCACTTGCTTTTCCCTTTTTGTTTACTATTTCAACATGTGTAGCTCTCCTCTTTGACGCTAACATTTTTTCATTGGCAGTTTTGTGTTGCATTAAATTAAAAATTAATTTATGAAAAATAATTTATGGAAGATTGATTTTTATGATGCTGAGTCGTCATCTTTCTTAAGCACATCATATACCTGCTCATTTGTTCTATCTTTTGAAGCTTAAGATTTTAGTTTTCTTCATATAACTTTGCACACTGGTATAGACTAAATGTGTGTGTTCCACCAAATTCCTTAATTGAAATCTTTTTTTGTTTTGTTTTGTTTTTTTTGGGTACCAAGGATCGAACTCAGGACCTTGTGCTTGCGAGGAAGGCAGCAGAACTTCTGAGCTAAATCCCCACTCCCTTAAATTGAAATCTTATCTCCAATGTGAGGGTACTGGAAGTAGGGGAAGTGGGGGAATCACTCTGGGAAGTGATTAGGTCATGAGGGGCCATACTATCATAAATGACATCAGTGTACTTATAAAAGACCTCTTAAAGAGATTCCTTACCCTTTCTAAATGTGAGAAACAGCAAAAAGACAGCCATCTATAAAACAGGATAAGCTCTTACCAGACACCAGATCTGCCAGCACCGGAATCTGGGACTTCCCAGCTTTCAGAACTGTGGAAAATAAATATTTGTTGTTTCCAATTTATTTAGTTTATGTATATATTTTGGTACTGGGGATCGAGCTTGGGTCCTTGTGCTTGCGAGGCGGGTGGCAGAATCACTGAGCTAAATCCCCAGCCCAAGTTTATATTTTTATTACAGTGGCCAGAATGGACTGAAATACACAAGTTTTCTGTTAGAATCATTACCTGTCCTGTCAGTGATGCAAAGTGGCTAGCACATATTTTTCTGAATCCTGAATCTGAAAAGATTCTAATGCTATGATAAAATCAGTTAAATATGACAAGATTAATTAGTAAATTAAAATTCAATCTTTTAACAAATGAGTGTTTTAAGTACCAACCACGTAAACATTACATGCTTAAGACTTTCAAAGAGTTAAAGTAGAAACTCCTAGTAAAACTTGTACACACACACACACACACACATTTATTTTTATGAAACATGAAAAGAATACTTACCTCAATCTGGTTGATGTTAACTATTTCTGTATCTTTATGGTATCTAGTTTATAATTATTCTCTCCAGCCTTCTCTTATCTTTTATGATTGTAAATATAAGCTTAGTATTTTATATTCTTAAAATACATTGATAAATACTTCAGAATGTTTTATTCTTCATGGAACTTAGTTTTGTTTGGGAGGTACAATGATAAAACAAAGCCGCCCAAATTCCCAAATAGGTAATTGCCCATTATAAGGAAAAATGCTTGGATGAATAAGGAGTAAATATGAGGTCAAAGAAAAAATAAACTCAAAATGTAAACAAGCACGGATAAATTACGAAGCACATTGCAAAATTCACATGGCCCTTTATTAAAAAAAAAAATTTATCAATGCAAAACACTGAATCTTCAAAGCAATTTTGTCCTTCCTGCTAGTTTCCATCTCCTTTTTGGTCAGCCCCCTTTCAGGTCACTCCAGCACAAGTAGGCTAATGTCTGGCGAGAACCAATACTTCAGCGGAAAACTGTAGAGTTACAGACCAGGAACTTTTAACTTTTTGGCGTGTGCGTCCACCTTCTTCCCTTTTGGTGGTGATAGGATTGAAGCCAAGGCCTTCACACTGAGCTACAAACCTAGCCTCTTTTATTTTTTATTTTGAGATAGTCTCGCTAAGCCCCATAATTAACCCTTCTGCCTCAGCTTCTCAGTGTTAGGATAACAGGCTTGAGCCACCACGCCCACTCTGCTCTGGTCATTTCAAGAAGACATTAGTGAGAAAGTAGTTCGCTGGGTGCGAGGCGCTTGAGAAAAGCGTAAATTGATATCAACCTTGCTCAAGGCGAACACAACCACAACGATCAGATCAAGAATTACTGCAGGGCTGGGAAAGTAGCTCAGTGGCGCCGCGCCTGGCAAGCGCAAGGTCCTGGGTTCGATCCCCGGTACCGAAAAAAAAAAAAAAAGAATTACACTGGCATTCAAAATTCCTCTAAAACTGGCGTTAGAGTCTTCACCGGAAATCTGAGCAACTCTCACACCGGTACACCTGCGTATTCTGTTAGAGCAAGCTCCTCTCGGCCCCTTCCTAATCGGAAGTCCCGGTTTATTAAAATACGACAGTCGTAAACTGGGATTTCCTGACGGCTTCCTAACTTTACGACGCCAACAACTATGGCGGCTTCCAGTGGCAGATTTGAAAGTGCGAAGAGTATCGAAGAGCGTAAGGAGCAGACTCGAATTGCCAGGGCTGAAGTGTTGCGTCAGGTACCTTCGTTTTGGGGAAAGTTGTAGTTTCATTCAGAGTTGTAGGAATTGAGGTTACAGGAGGAAACCCACCCGCTCGTTCTCTAACCACATAAGCATCTCATCTTTTGTGAGTGGATTCCCCCTTAGCAACGCTGGTGTTCTTGTGTATTTCCTGTTTCCTAAATGCTGTGGCAAGTTATATCTGCTCGTTCATTTTTCAGAGAGATCTGTTTTATTTTTTCTTCAAGTTTCTTTGCCTTGTTAAGTCGTCCATTCTTGACATTTCTATCCTTCGGACTGAATGCTTTCTAAGTACTTTGCCACCTCTAACTACTCTGCCAGAGTATTTTTTAGCTTCAGCCATTGTTCCTGCCATATCTGAAGCGAAATTGGTCTTTTTCAGGGATACAAGTAAAGGCACAGTTGAGTGGACAGAGTTTAACGTTTCATTCGCCTTTCTTAGTGTTGGTTGCAATTCCAGACTTGTCAGCCTTCACTGATCCAAACAAGACTTGGAAACTTAGTCTCTCACAAAAGGTTGAGAAACTGTATTTCTCATTAATATTGAGATTGAGAAGGAGGAAGTAAGCTTTTGAATTAACTATCCAAGAAGCTTCTCAGATGTAAAAAAAAATGTGACAATAAAAGGGTAGAGTTGTAGTTGGAGAGCAACGTAGGTTATGGTAACGTCTTTTTTTTTTTTTTTTTTTAAATGAAAGGGTTTTTTTGTTTTTGATACAGGGTCTAGTTATGCAGTTCAGGCAGGCCTTGAACTCACTGTGTAGCCCAGCTGGCCTTGAACCCTGCTATTCTCTTGCCTTAGCACGAGTGCTGGGATTACAGGCGTGTGCCACCGTGCCCGGCTAGAATGAGAGCGTTTTAAGAGAGTTTAGATGCAGATGTGAAGGAATCAGTGGAGAAGAGGAGACAGGAATGAGGATTCAGCAGAGAAGAAGTAGAGGAGGCAGAGAAGAGAAAAGATGACCACGGCTGGATTTTATTACTTTATTCTTTTTTGGTACCGGGTATCAAACTAAGGACCTTGCACTTGCGAGGCAGGTGGCAGAACCGCTGAGCTAAATCCCCGGCCCTTACAGCTGGATTTTAAACAGGGAAAGTAGGCTATGAGTCTTGGAGAGGTAAAAGATTGGGACTATTCCCTGATTTCACCATTTGCATAATACTTTTCATTCTTGTTTCTTTTGTATTTCAAGGTAGATTTTGGAGGGAGTAGAGTTTTTAAGCTGTGTTACATTTTATAGTAGACAGATAAACATTGTTTGAGAAGGACCAAAACCAACTTTGAATTGAGAGGAAGAATTAAGACGCTAGGAACAACCTCCTGGGAAAAACTACCTTTATTCGACCATTGTTGAAAGATAAATAGATGTTAGCAATATGGTCATTTCTTTTTTTGTTGTTGTTATTGGGGATCGATCTCGAGAATATGGTCATTTCTTTTTGGAAAGTTGATTCTTCTTGAGGCATTTTAGGGGCATAGTTATTAGGGCATGAACACTGTATATTGAAGGCATGGAGGTCAGTCTACTAAATGTTGCAAAAGTTTAATTCATTAGCCAAAAAGATTAGCTTGAAAAAGGATTCCAAGCCATATTTGTTGTGGGGAGAGGGAAGGGTCTAGAATAGATGTAAGGTTTCTGTCTCTGACTGGTAGTTCCTTTTACTGAAGATTGTTATTTTGGAAGGGAACATTTTGTTTTGTGTTTTTAGTCATGGGAACAGACTATTCATAAATAGGAACCTTTATGTGAAAGTGATACTTTTTTTTTTTTTTTGGTGAAAAGCAGTTGAGTCCATTGTCAGTTTGTCTTTTTGTTGTTGTTGTTGTAGGCCAAAGCCAATTTTGAAAAAGAAGAAAGGTGGAAAGAACTTAAACGACTTCGAGGTGAGGATACATGGATGTTACCTGATGTGAATGAGCAAATTGAACAGTTCTCAAAGGTGAGTATTAACAGATTTACTTGATTTAATGATAACTCTTCTTTGCACTATTCAAGTTAATATTGAGAGGACAATTTTATACACTTTTCATAGGTTATAGAATGAGTATCATGTAGTTGGCATTATTTGATAGTTTTATTTCTCTGTCAAAAATACTGTACTGTAATGTTTTGGACATCAGGGCGTTGAAAGATTTTGTTATTGAATTGGCTTGTGGAACACTTAACTTCAATTTCTGATCACTTGTGGCAAATTTAAAGAAATGCAACATTATGGATTTTAAGCTTTTGGTCTTGATGTTTAGGACTCAAGCCTTGGTTTTCTACTTATACTTTTTAAAAATTTATTTTTAATTGACAGTTATTTTGTATATTTATGGAGTATAGTGGGATGTTATGATCTATGCATATGTTGTAGAAAGATTCAGTCAAGTTAATTAACATGTCACCATGTATATTTTTTGAGTGGTGAGAACATTGAAATCTATTTTAATTATTTCATAATTTTGGAATGTATGTATATTTTTAAGGCAAGGTGTCACCATCATATAGTCCAGGCTGGTCTTGTAGCCCAGGCCTGACATTAAACTTGCAGTCCTCCTGCCTCAGCCTCCCAAGTGCTGGGATTACAGGGCATACATCACCATGCCCAATTTTAGAATGTATGTTATTATTATCTATGATCATTAAAACTGATTCCTCCAGTCTGACTGAAACTTTGTATCTTTTGCTCATCATCTTCCTTTTCTTATTCCTCTCCTTGCCTCCCCTCTAGTCTCTTCTTAAAATTTTAATCCATGTTAATTAAACTCACCATTTATCTAATTATCTATCTATGGTATCTTTATTGGTACATTTATTTATCTATATCTATTTTTTACCCTCATATGTATCTAATTACAGTATCTATCTTTACCATCTGTCTGTCTATCTATCCGTCTATTTATATTTTAGTACTGGGAATTGAACTCAGGGAAGTGCTACCATTGAGCTACATTCCTAGCCCTTTATTTTTTGATATGGGTATTTGGTAAGTTGCTCAGATTGGCCTTAAACTTGCAATTTCCCTGTCTTGGCTTCCCAAGTAACTGGGATTATAGACTTTTGATACCATTTCTGGCTTGGTCTGATAGTCTTGTATAAATTTTTTGGGAGTGTACAGAAATATGTGTGTGTGTGCGTGCACCTGCATGTGTGTGTATGTGTGTGTGCATATACACATGTATTTGTATGTATGTATTTGATTACATCTATCACATGAATCAACAAATAAAACAATTTTCATCCTATGTTTTGGTATGAAATCTGAGCTATATGATTTATTTAATAGTGCCTATATTACAGAAAGCATGTTAAAGTTTCTTGAAAGTTTTTATTTAGTGATATTTTTTATTTCCTTTCATAGAAGAGTTAAATTGTTTTTGGAATATGGATATTTTTCCTCTTAAAATGTTTTCTTTTAAAGTAAAATAAAAACTAAATTCCTTTCCTATCTGCTGATTATAGGAACATTCTCTGAAGAAAAAGAAGAAAAAAGAAAAGCATTCAAAAAAAGAAAAGAAAGAGAAGAAAAAAAAGAGCAAGAAACAGAAATATGAAAAAAGTGAATCAACTGATAGTTCATCAGTAAGTACTAAAACTAACCAGTATAGAGAAGCCACTAATAGAGAAAATTTTATTTAAAAGAATAATATAGGATAACTTCAAATATATGAGAATTAAAAAAAATACTGCTAGTTAATGACATGAAAATATTTGGGAGATACAGACGAAGATATACAGGAAATATTAGAAATGTATGTTTTGAGTTCCAGTTAAGAGGGTAGGGATTTGATTTGGGAATCATTACTAGTTGGAGGCATTAAGTGGATGAATTGCCTAGGGATACTGAGAAGAAAGATGAACATCAACACTGAAGTGCCAGAGAGGAAGTAAAAGAAGCTAAGTAAAAATAGTTGGAAAATTAGGAGAAACAGGAAAGAGGAGTTTTATAAAAATAAAGAAAAGAAGTTTCAAGACATTTAAGAATCTGTTATTCTTGTTTGTTTTTTCATAGAAAAAGTTAAATTTATGTTAAATTTGCTTTTTTTCTAGCTTTTGAAGGACTTACGTAGGTCATTGATTCTAAATCTTTCTTTTCTAATAAGTATTTAATTTATAATTTTCCCTCTTACCATTGTAAAAATCTGAAAATGTACTTTTTTTTTAGCTCATGGGTTATATATAAGTGAATTTTTTAAAAAATTAAATTTTATTCGTACATTTTAGGTATACAATATAATGATATTCATCATTGGAAATTTGTACCTGTACATAATATATCTTGATTCTTATTTTTTTCCCATTCTCCTGCCCTCCCATCAACCTCTCCACCCCTCTCTGTGTACAAAGACTTTGTTTCCATTTTTTCCTTTTCTCATGTTAATTCCATTCCCTTCTTTCCTTTCCCCTACCCTTCCCACTTCCCCTTCTCCTTTGCTTCTTTTCTTCCTATTTCACAATATCTATTATACATTTTGATCCTTATTTACACTTTCAGTTTCTCACACCAGAGAAACTATTTGGTATTTACTCATAGGTGCCTTATTTATTTCACTTAGGAGTATCACCTCAATGTGCATCCATGTAGCTATAAATGTCTCTAATTTCTCATTCTTTATCGCTGAGTAGTACTCCATGTTATAAAAAAACCATACATGGTACTGGCAAAGAAGCAGACCTGAGGACCAGTGGAACAGATTAGAAGATGAAGAGACACTCAGCCACCTCATCTTCGACAAAGGAGCCAAACACCCTCATTGGAAGGAAGATAGCCTCTTTAATAAATGGTGCTGGAAAAATTGGGTTTCAACTTCCCAAAGATTAAAACTATGCCTATATTTCTCACCATGCACTAAACTAAAATCTAAGTGGATCAAAGATCTAAATATTAAAACAGAAACACTAAACCAGCTGGAAGAGAGGTTAGGTAAAACTCTTGAAAACATTGCTGTGGGAAAAGATTTTATAAACAAAACCTCAGTTGCCCGTGAACTAGCACAAAGAATCAACAAGTGGGATCTTTTCTTATTAAAAAGCTTCTGCACAGTGAGAGAAACCACCGACAGTGTGACGTTTCTCCCATATTGTGGGATTTTTACCACCTGTTCCTCAGAGGTCTACTATGTAGAATCTATAAAGAACTTAAAAAAATCAGACCTCCCAAATTTAAAGACGCAATCTGAAAATGGGCATCTGAAATAACAGACATTTCTCAGACAAAGAAGTAGGAATAGCAAATAAACATATGAAAAAATGTTCAACATCACTGATCATTCAAGAGATGCAAATGAAAACAACGCTGAGATTCCACCTCACTCCAGAAAGAATGGCTGCTATCATGAAATCAACCAATAACAAATGCTGGCAGGGCTGTGGGGAAAGAGGAACCCTGCTCCACTGTTGGTGGGAGTGTAGACTAGTGCAACCACTGTGGAAATCAGTATGGAGATACCTCAAATAACTAGGACTGGAAGTCCCATTTGACCCAGCTATTCCCCTGCTGGGTGTCTTCCCCAAAGAATTAAGAGTCATACCACAGTGATATATGTGCACCCATGTTTATAGTGGCACAGTTTGTAATAGCAAAAACTTGGAAACAGCCCAGTTGCCCATCAACTGGAGACTGGATAAATGAATTTTTGATTCTGCAGATTTTTGTGTATTTTATCAGTTATATTTTGTTATTTATTTTGGGCCTGTATATTGGCACATGCCTATAATCCTACCACTTTGGATGCTGATTTAATTTCCTTATTGTTATAGAACATACTTTGTATAATTTTAATTAAAAAATGATGGAGACCTATTTTATAACCTAGCTTATGATCTTTTTTGGTGAAAATACCATGTATATTTGAAATTAGTATGTATTCTGCTGTTGTGAGGTGTTGTGTTTTAAATGTCAATTAGGAAAATTTGGTTAATATTGTTTAGTCTCCTATATTCTTATCTTCTGTTTATCTGTTCTATCAGTTACTGAGAGAGCAGTATTGAAAGCTCTAACTGCAGTTGTTGATTTGTCTATTTCTGCTTTCAGTTTTGTTGGTTTTACTTTTTGTATTTTTAAGCCTTATTATGTATGTGTACATTGTGGATTATTCCATCTTGATGAATTTACTGATACTATGAAATGTTTTTTATTTCTTTGGGTGATACTCTTTTCTCAAGTCTGCTTTATTTTATATTGTTCTTTTTTATTATTTGTTTTTTCATGGTATATTTCTTTATATTCTTTTAGTGTTAATATCTATGTTTCTTTTATATTGAAAGTAGATTTCTTGCAGACAGTACACATTTGGAACTTTTTATCTAGCCTGTCAATTTCACCCACTTTAATTACAGAGTTGTTTTTTTTTTAGCATTTAATGTGGTGGCTCTGGATGAATTTTAAATATTTAATTAAGATTCATTAAAATTATATGTAAAAGGAGTGAATGGAGATGAAACTGTAAGAATTGATAGGGCCTTATAAACTAAAACCTGTAACTTTATTCAGTAGGGAATGTATCAGCTAATTAGCTGCGTTTATTAGAAAATCTCATAGTAGTCATTTGTTAAACAATATAGTTTATTTTTTCTCTCATATAAAAGAAATCAGAGAGGCAGTCTGGATTTACTGTGGTCTGGGACTAAGGCTTTTATCAGTTTGCTCTTTCATCATTGTTACAGAGTTGCCTCTTAGTCCAGATAACAGGAAGGAGGATATTCTTTTCTTTTTTGACTTTCAGAAAGTCCCACAGAATACTTTCATTTACATCTCATTGGACACTTGATCATGTTTCACTTGGTGTCATGGGAAGCACATTACTTTTCAAAAGAAAATACTTGTTCTGTTGGTAGGAAAGAAGAGGGCTAACAGTGTTTGTGACAGGGAGCCATAGAGGAGAAGTAGTATGGTTCATATGTCCTTTATATTACTTTAAATGTATTACGGGTAGGGATTTGGAGAAGGAAGGGGAGCAGGAAAGACAAATTCAAGAGATTTGGCCATTCAGTTGTATAGGTGAGAGGTAAGAAGATCTGGTTCAAGACTCCTGCTTGTAGGATGGAAAGGAAAGGGATATGTATTAGTTGGTACTCTTTGTTGTAAGTTACAAAAATCAAACTTAAAGTGGCCTATGCAAGTTGGAAGTGGTGTTTGCCTATAATGTCAACATGTGGAAGGCTGAGGTTGATGGACTGCAAGTTTGAGGTCAGCTGGGGTATGTTTTGAGTTCAAGACCAGTAGAGACTACATAGTGAGGTATTGTCTCAAAACATTTTTGGGGGGCCCGGGGACTTAGCTGGCAAGCACAAGGTCCTGAAAAAAAAATTTTGGACTCATACGAAACAAGTGTAGGATTTATTGGAATATAAAATTTTATAAGATCTAAGTGTAGGAATCATCTGGAGGTCAGGAATAGCTTGAGTTAGAATCATGAATGCTCTTAGTAGCCTTTTGCCATTTTCCATTTTTTCTCCTCTTAGCCTGCTTTTCTTTCTTGATACAGACCAGTTTTTGCTGAATTCCACTCTTCATGACAGAATTATCCTCTGCCAGTGCTTTTCCAGTTAACTTTCATTTTAGATAAGTCTTTGGGCTCGATTTCAAATTCTTGCAGAGTAATTTGGACTGTTACAAATTTGGTCAGGAAATGACTTTGGAACTAGTTGACTGTGGCTAGGGATGGAGGTAGGGTCCCATAGCAGTCATGGTATTTGCTGTGTGATACATTTGATAAGTACTTTGGAGTTGAAAATAGTAATTTTGGGGTAAGATGATCTTGAAATTTCTCACTTGGGTGATTAGGTGGTTATTGGTGCCAGGCATTACTCCGTTCAGTAATAGAGTGAAGAACAGGTGCTATAGAAGAAAGTGATGTGTTTATTTTATATTCTTGAGTTCAGCATGACATCCAAGAATAATAGATAGTTGATTATGTCCTTGGAAATTTGATTAGACAAATTTGAAAATCATCAGTAAAAGTTTGTAATGGTAAAAGCTTGGAAACAGCCCAAGTGCCCATCAACTGGAAACTGGATAAAGAAGACATGTTTTTTTAAAAATAAAATGGAGTACTACTCAGCCATAAAGAATGAGAAATTAGAGACATTCATAGCTAAATGGATGCATATTGAGGCCACACTTTTAAGTGAAATAAATAGGACACATGTTTTGTATACCTAAAATGTACCAATAAAAGAATTTAAGAAAAAAAAAGTTATCAGTAAAATTGTTAATAGTTCAAGCCATGCAAATGGATTTAATGGCCTAAGTGGAATGGTTAGAGAATAAAAAAATATAGTGGTCAAAGAATAAAACCCTAAACAGCATGGATATTTAACAACTGAACAAAAGACGAAGAATGTATGAAGGAAATGGAGAAGAAGCAAAGACTGGAAGAAGACCTGGAAAGTGTCCTGGAAGTCAAGAAATGGTGTTATTAGCCCAGTTATATTCAGTGGAAAGGTTTAGAGAAATAAAGACTGAAATATTTTGTTCATTTTGGCAATGTGGAAGCCACTGAAGAATTTTGAAGAAATTTCACTAGATTAATAGGGATAAAGCTGTCTTCTAGAGTTTAGAGAAAAGTTTGAAAGTAAGGGTGTGAAGACAATTGATGTAAACCACTCTTTCAGTAAGATCATCTTAGAATGGAAGTTGGAAGCTAAGTTGCTACTAGAAGGATACACAGTCACGGAAGGTCCTCTTTCTTCTGAAACAAAAAGTGGGAAATACTTCAACATATTTCTAGACCATTAGAAACCTTTGGTTGAAGCATAGAAGACACTATTTGATGGAGCAAAGTCCTGGAGGAACAGGAATGATTTGAATAAAAATCTTTGGAGGAGCATCTGCTTTGAAGGAAGAGTCAACAGGAGGTTAGAATAGTCAAGAAACTATAAATAATTTTGTTGGAGGTTATGTAGGGAGCAAAAGTGGACTAATTTTTCTTGACTGAGGCAAGAAGAGATCCTTTTCTGAGTGAATGGGGGATGTGAGTGGGTGGAAAGTTGAGGGTGTTGAAGAAGATGAAGATGTTTGTGCAGGTATTAAGCTAGGTACTGTGTTCAGGGATACAAAATAGAACAAAGCAGGTATAGTACCTGTCCTCATAGGACTTATTACTTAGTAGGGCATTAACCAGATAGTTACATAAATAAATGTAAAATGAGTAAATGCTTTAAAGAAGAGAAAGTAAGGGACTAGAAGGGAGAACTGACCAAGAATCAGTATAATGGAAACTCTAGTTTGGGTTGAAAGTCTATTTCAACTGAAGTTGTAGATCATGGTGATTGGATTTATCCAGAGTTGGACATTTGGTGGTGAAGCAACTGATGGCTTCAGTTAGTGAATTTAAGTGGTTGGTCTTTGTGTGATAAGATAGAGAAAACTCCTAATTATTAAAGAAAGCCTATGACAGAATCCCATGGAGCACCAAATTGTAATCATTTTAGTTTTTTTGGTTTTTTTGTTTTTGTTATCAGGGATCGAACTTGGGTCCTTGCTCTTGCAAGGCAGGTGGTGGAACCACTGAGCTAAATCTCCTGCCATTCATTTTAGTTTGATGTTAGCAAATTGGCACTCCTCTAAAGAAAATGATTTTTTTTCAGGCTGTATATACTGTTTTAGTGGAGGACATAAAGGATTAGGAACCAGGTTAGGCATGGTAGTACACAGCTGTAATCCTAGCTGCTCATTAGGTTCTGGCAGGAGAACTCCAAGTTTGAAGCCAGTTTGGACAATTTAGTGAGACTATATCTCAGAATAAAGAACAGGGTGGCTGAGGATGTAGCTCAGTGGTAGAGTGCCCCTGGATTGAATCCCTGCTAGCATCTCCCCCCCACCCCCCAACTAGGAACCAGGTCCCTCTAAGTTGATTTGATGATATAAATATGATTTTACCAAAAATACATTTATAGTGATTATCTTAATTTTAAGGTTACATAAACAAATTGGATTCTGTAAATCCAAATCAGTGCCTAAATAAGTAAATAAAATCTACATTGCTTTGGGAAATAGTTGACAGATGAGGTGGCAGAGCATAAATATGTTTATTCCATGGGGATCATACCTTTGGTGGACATAGTTTTGTTCTTTTTTTTGTTTTTTGATACCAGGTTTTGAACTTGGGACCTTGCGCTTACGAGGCAGGTGCTGGAACCACTGAGCTAAGTCCCCGGCCCCCATATTTTTGTTCTTTAAAGAAAGCTTATGTAACTTAAGAACTTCATGGAACAGAATGGTATCATTTAAGAAAATTGCTTTGCTATTGACTCATTTTTTCCCCTCAGCCTCAAATTTTCTTAGCTATACCTTAATAGGTGGTTCACACAAGGTAGTTTCTAGGATCTTTCCTACAATTAAGTTCTATATCTCCAAAGAATAGATTTTTAGGGTCAGCAGATTTAGATTCCTATCTTTGTCCTCACACTTGAATATCACATAAACTTGGGCAACTTACTTAATTTTAGGCAACTTTCTTTATCTGTAAAATCAAACCAGTACTTTTTAGCATCATTTTAAGTACTCAGTGTGACAGTTTATGTAAAAGTACTTAATATTCTATTTGAGATAAAAGAGCAGACCTGTACATTTATTGTAAACAAAACCCAAAACCTGGAGTAATGATAAATACACAAGGATGTTGACTGAATACTTAATTGATTTAATAATCTGGTGTTTAAACATTGCAAAATGCCTCACCAGCCTAGCTTTTACTTGAGACTTATGCAGTTTTAGATCTAGAGAAATCTCAAAAATTGAAACTAAGAGGCAAATGGCAAACTCATTTACTGTATTTGGGTGTCATTTCCCCTGTTTTAGAGTGACAAAAGTGTGAGTACTTGATGTTGGTAGGTACTGAAGCTCTGGGCTTAAGTGAATTATTTACCTAGCAGTTCTAATTTTTGTTTTTTACTTTCTATTGGCTCTGTAATATAATTGATAAGAAAATAGAAATAATTTGGTTGTGTTTTGCTCATAGTTTTTTTTTGGTACCGGGGCTCGAACTTGGGTCCTTAGCTTGTGAGGCAGGCGGTGGAACCACTGAACTAAATCCCTGCCCTAATTTGGTTGTGTTTTGTGTATTTAACTCAAAATAATTTATGTTTTCTTCCAATTTTTAGTGTCATTTTTTAAAGAGGAAATATGTTGTAAGAATTTTGTCTAGGAAGCTGAATTATCACCACTTAACAGCGTAGAAATTTTATATGAAAGTATGCAGATTAAACAATTCCACTTATATGCTAAATATTCTTAGAGCTCTGAGGATGAGTGGGTGGAGGCTGTTCCATCTCAGACTCCTGGCAATGAAAAGGCCTGGAAAGCGAAAGATGAAAAGTTAGAAAAAGAAGATGACAGCCAAGCTATTCAGGTATGCAAGCCACCTGATTTTAAAGAAAGAAGTTTCAACTTCTAAGAATAAGTGAATGTTAAAGTGAAAGATGATTAGAATTTCTTCTAGGGAAAATTAGACTTTGAAAACAGTATACCTTATGAATATTTGCTGAATATTTAGGCTCCCCCTTTTCTCCTGCTGTGAGAAAGAGTGCTTATCTCTATTCAAGTCTCTTAACATGTTTTCTTCTGGTAGCTGATAGAGAAGTGGCATTTCCCTCTTAATGTGCCTGCAACCTTACAATGTTACCTCTGTCTGATTAAATCCTTCTGTGGTCAGGAGAGTTCAGGTGCATTTTTTTTGGTACCAGGGATTGAACTTGGGACCTTGCGCTTGCGAGGCAGGCAGCGGAACCACTGAGCTAAATCCCCGGCCCAGATGCAGTTTTATTTCTCTTCACCTTATGTCATAATTTTCCTTATCAGTACTTACAGTTGAATGATTGTAGTTCATATTGCCTAAGAAAGAAGGTACACTCAAAGCAACAAATGAAGCAAGAAAGGCCAGCAGGACCTAATTTTTCATTTCTTGTTGCATGCCAAGCACTGTGCTTATATCTGTTATCTTGTTTAACCCTTTGAACAACACTGAAAGATAGGCATTTTATCCCATCTAATAGAGAAGAGATTAAGGCATACAGAGATTTGGAAACTTGCTTAAAGTTGTATAGTCATATAGGATTTGATACAGTTTGAGTACCTCCAAAATTCTTAATAATTTTAATTGGTTCAGTTTGAAGTGACTTCCTTTTTCTAACAGAGGGATGAGTGGATGACTGTTGATTTCTTGTCTGTTAAAACTGTGTCATCATCGTCACTTAAAGCTGAAAAGGAGATGACAAGGAAAATAGAGCGAGAAAAAAACCAAGCACTTGAACAGGTAAGAAAACATTTAAAATGCTTCAATTTTCTAATTTGCCTTTAATAAACTGATAAGACATTCATATAAATGCAAATTTACTTGTAAAATAGTTTATCTTTTGTGATATTTAAAAAAATTAATGAGAACTACTATGAAATGTGACATAAATTCTTTTAAAATGTTTCCTATAGAAAATCAATTTAAAGGTATATTGCATTTATAAATCTAGGACAGTGATGGTGAACCTTTTCAGTGATACAAACAGCCTGCTGTGGCTCGTGTGCCATAGGTTCGCCACCACTGATCTAGGGCATATACAGTTGATGGTAAATTGAGTTTAGGTGTTTAGGTTATTATCATTGAATTAAAACTGAATTCTTTGAACTTATGTTTCAACATACATATTGAGTTAGATAACATAAAAATGTTTATCTTTTAAGACACCTAAAATTTCTACATTTATTATTGTTACATTGCCGGTAGGAAAATAGTGGGAAATCTTTAGAGACCAAAAAATGAGACAGAAGCTTTCGGGAGGCTGAAGCAGGTGGATTGCTGCAAGTTCAAGGCCAATCTGGGCTACATAGTGAGTTCCAGGCCAGCCTGAACTACATAGCAAGAGCCTGTCACAGAAAACAAAATGAAACGAATGGATGAAAGAAAGAAAGAGAGAGAGAAAGAAAGAGAGAGAGAGAGAGGCAGGCAAAAGCATGAATCTAGAAAGCAAAGAAGTACTGAAGCTGATAGTTTATATCACATAATCCTGGTAATCTAGAACTTCAGTTTTAGGAATGCTTAGAGGTAGCAGATAAAGCAAGTTCCTAAGATAGGCAAGTCTGATTGATAAACCTCTATAATTCTAGGACCCACAGGGATATAGTCTTGATTAAAAGATGAACCTGGAAATAACTTTATTGAAAGCAAGAGAGCTTGCCTGTGTCCTTTAAAAAAATTTTTTTTTCCATTGTTGGAATTAAACCTCGGGGTTTGTACATGCAAGGTAAATACTTTACCCCTGAACTACACTCCAACCCACAGCCTGCTTACTTTGTGAAGTGTCTTGTATGGTAGAGGGGGTAAAATCTCCCACAGGAATGTATATGACATTGTAGTGGTTTATAGCTTGATTTGTAGGGTTTTATGGCTTGAATTCATGCTACATATGTGGTCTGAAAATCTTTAAGGGGAGAATTTATTTTAAAGTATTTTTGAGTTGGTAATGCCTTGAACTACTTGGGACACATAACCATGAGTCCTTTCTAGAAGATCATATTGTAAATCTAGGATTCACAGGTTTCCTAAAACAAAATTCTGTGGATATAAACTCACAAACTGAAAATCAGAAAATAGTGTGAAAATACACCTGCCTCAGCCTCCTAGGTGCTTTGGCTTCATTTTTTGGCCAAGAAGGAGAGCCATCTGAAACAGTGAATAATAGAATCAGCTCCACAAAACCTTGATGTCTTAGGATATTTAATAGCTTTGTAAAGTATGAGCAGGTATAAAAAATATGAATAAGGAGGGCCGGGGATGTAGCTCAGTGGTTTTGCTGCTTGCTGTGCAAGCGCAAGGACCCGAGTTCGATCCTCGGTACCAAAAAAAAAATATATATATATATATATATACGAATAAGGAATAAATGATTATAAAGAAGGTAGACTTTAAGCCAATTGTGGTGGTGCATACCTGTAATCCTAGCTACTTGGAGGCTGAGGCAGGAGGATTACAAGTTCCTGGACAACTTAGTGGAGACCTACTACAAAAAAGAAAAAAAAAAAGCTTTCCTTATGGAACCTTGGAAGCCAGAATTTTGGGAACATCTTGACTAATTATTTAAAATATCTTTTTCTCTAAATTAGATTTGGAGTTGAAGTTCGTTGTATAAACAGAGGGCAGGGAAGGTACATCCAGCCATAGGGATAACTAGTGAATAGTGGAGTAAGAAAGATGAGCTGGATGAAATGAAGTCTGGGAGTTGATTTCACGCATTACATCCCACAATTATATCTATTTTTTCAGAGTGAACCTTTGATCATGCTATATTCCACTTAGAAGTTTTCTTCAATGATTCAAGTTACTAAGAATGCGTCTTTGCCATTTCTGATTTTCTCTTTCTAGTGCAGGGAGCACCACTTGTGATATTTCATGCCACCTTCTTTTCTCAGTCTATCCTTCAGAACATGGAATAAATTTTCCCCTGGAAAATTTATATAGAATAAACTGATCATGCTTTTTGTTTTGTTTTGAGACAAGGTCACACACTATGTAGCCCAGGCTGGCCTCAAACTTGTGATCCTCCTGCCTTAGCCTTCCAAGTGGTGAGATTATGGGCATGCCCCACCAGGCCTAGCTAGTCATGCTTTCTCAACTCTGACTTTTCTGTTTGTGAAACAGGTTGCCTGCAGAGATCAGATAGGGTTGGCCCTGTGCTTGCTACAGCTGGGAAAGTCTTCTTCATTGTAGGATTCATTTAGTAGGATCATTAGGCTTTCACTGAATGATTTTCTCCCAATTGAATGTTCATTAATAATACAAGTAGTTTTTGTATTTTATTTCCTATGCTTTTTTATTTCTTAACTTGTTCAGAACCTAGACAGTGTTGGTGATCCTATAGCAAGCGTGCCGCAGCAGGCTGTTTGTATCATTGAAAGCTCTAAAAGGTTCGCCATTGCTGACCTAGACTAAAAGAGAAAGGTACTATATTTACTGTTCCCCAGAGACCCCTGAAGCTGCCTGCAAATGTACTCCTAACTCCTAACTAAAATTGCTGTTTAAGGCAAATTTCTTTCTCTCAGTTAATTTGAATCTGAACCAAACTAATTTAATCACTTGGACACACACTTCTCTACAAGTCCCTACCTCTGAATTTTTTTCATGTGATTCTTTTTCAGTGCATTCCTTTTATCTCTTTTTATCTTTTGTCTGCATCTTGTTTATCTTTCAAGGTCTGTCTCATACATACTATGAAACTCTTGCTATTTTTCTTGACTAAAATAAGTTTTTTCTTCTTTCATAGCACTTTATTTGTCCCTGTACGTTATTTACAGTTCTCTGTAAAATGCTGTGATACAGTAGTCTTATCTATTTTCCTTATAAAATTATAAACTTTTTGAGAAAGCGTGTTTTGTTTATATTTGTATTTTCTTTGCAGCTAGTATAGAAATCTGCACATAGTAGGAACTTTTTGTCTTTTTAAAATAATACGAAATTGTAGATATAGTCTTCTGTCCATGAATTACAATTTACCTTGCTACTCTATAAATCCTTAGATTTAGTTCTGAAGTTCATAATCTGTAGTATTTTGGGAGTTTTGCTTAGGTAAATATTCAGATTGTTGTGTGCAAAAGTAAATCGTCTAGACCAATGAGGGAGAGTACCCACTTTTCACACAGGCACATCAATTTGGATGTTTTATTCTTTGTGTACCATATTATTCTTAAGAATTCATACATATTATTTTTCTTGAGGAAAAAAAATGGCTCTTGTCTTAAATCAAATGGTAATTGTTGTAATGGCAGTGAAGATAATATGAAGGTAATGGGAAGAAGTCTAAAATTATAGTCATTAATTGGTATGAAGCATTTTGACTGTGTATCTTTTCCTGAGATTGGGGATATCATTTCTTTGGTGTCCTAAGACAGTGTTTTTAAAAATGTGGATCATAAAATTAATTTATTGGATTCAGCACTTAAGAAAATAAAATACCAGCATGTATTACTTGTAATAAAGATATATTTTATTTTCTAAAACAGACACACACACACACACACACACACACACACACACACACACACAAAATCACTGAGTGCCAGGATCATGGAAAGCCAGTGCTAGAGGCTATGAGGCTATGTCTTTGTCCTCTTCTTTCCTTATGCCTACACATACTGCCAGATATGCCATAGCATTTATCTGTAGACCCAGGCTGTACCTTGTACCAATTCTTCAGCCTTTTACAAGCAGAAGACGCAGAAGACCTCCCTACCCAAGTCTTTGCTTCAGTGGTAAGACTTGCTTTTGCTCTGTCTCAGCTGGAGCACTCTTAGTATTTATTATCTTATACAAATTGAACTCAAGACTATAAGATTCAGCTTGTACATAGACCCCACTAAGTCTCTGGCTTCACTCTGGTGTACTGCTTTGCATTTCTGTTGTGTCTCTTGTCTACAGAGATATTTATCTTGTTTTGAACTTCAGTAAGTTTTATACTATGTATATCTTTTCTGTTTGTTTGGTTTTTTGAGTAAGGAGATTGTGATGGAGTAAAATCTTAAGTCATTTTTATTGAAAACCTGGACATGTTTTAGAGATCAGTTATGCTGACATATTTCTATTTCATTTTTTAATTTCTAGTCTTTCATCATTAACTGTATTGTAAGTATTCATCTATTAAGGACACCTATTTGTTTACTGTTTTTTAGTATTACAGTCAGTGCCACAACAAAGGACTTTGTGTATATTTTCTCGTACATACATGTGCTAGTGCGTATCTACAAGTGAAATGGCTTATTTATAGAGTATATAAATATGTTTTCTTTCACAAATACTTTCAGGATTATAGCAATTTATACTGTCTTAGCAATGTATTTCTTTTCCAGTACTTAGTATCTGTAATTGTCAAAGAAATTTTTATCTGACTAATTTATGCTAAGAAATTGTGTCTAATTTTTATTTTATTTCATTTTATTTTTTGGTACTGGGGATAGAATTTGGAACCTTGTGCTTGCGAGGCAGGTGGCGGAACCACTGAGCTAAATCCCTGGCCCTGTATCTCATTTTTAAATAGGCATTATTCTGACTATGACAAGAGAGATCTTTTCATGTTTTTGTTCATTCACATTTCTTTAGTGTAAACTATTTGTTTATGTTCTAGGTTTGTTTATCTTTTTCTTACTGATGTGTAGAAATTCTTTATATATTCAGACCTTTGTCTTTTATAGATTTTTAGATAGTATCTCACAATTTGTCAAGTCTCTTGTCAGATGTCCTATTCAGTGTAATTCAAGCTTTTAAAAAATCTGGTTGAGTATCTGTTGTGTTTCTTTTTGAGTGTCTAGTTAAGAGCACTACAAAAAGTTCCTTGATTATAGGTTCTCAGAAATTTTTTAGTAAACTAATAAGAGAGATAAGACAGAATCTTTTTTTGGGGGGGTACATACTACTAATAAGAAATCTAATCCAATTTTCCTTATCCCTTTAAGTTAATTTTTAATTTTGCCTTTTGAGGATTCTTTTTTGTCAGTTCCTAATGGATACATTTTAAAACTATCTAATATTTTTGTTTTCAACAATATGATTGGTTCATATTCTGGGAAAGTGACATTCTTGTAATTTAACACTTTCCATTTTCTCCATCTGATTGGCATTATTTATTAGTTCATGTAGGAAGTATTTTCTGACCTCCTGAGGTCAGGTATCAGTAGTATATAGTTCCATGGCACCCCTTGCTTTCATAGTACTTACCTGTATTGATATTGCTTAATTGCTTTTCTCCCTTTCCTAGATCTTAATTTCTTTGATGGCGAGGACCATGCCCACCTTATTGATTGTAACCCTAGGGCCTGGCATAGTGCTTGGAACACAGAGGGCACTTACACTGTGATCAGTGTCCTATTATCGCATGCTTTGGTTGCCACTACCATCTTCTCATTGGATTTGTGCATCCAATCATGTTCTCTAGTCTTCCACACTGAAACTAATTTGTTCTTTATGTAGTATAAAATTAATCACTTTCATGAGGCACTGTTACTTCCAGCATACAACCTCAACAGAAGTACATAATGGCTTATGTGTCTTAGACCCTGGTTAGTGTGTCATCCCCCACACCCCCCTTGCAAGGTCCCCTTAGGACCTAGCTTTTGACAGGCAGGCGCAGTGCCATTAAACTACATTCCCTACCCAATTCTGGTTAGTTTCTAACTTAATTTATTTTCACTACTTATTTCTATTTTTAAGTTTAAGCCAGTCTGAATTACTTTAAATTTCCCCAAAATGCTATGACCCTTCTTTCTTTCTTTTTTTTTTTTTTTTTATGACCCTTCTTTCTATAAGTGTCTTAGTTACTTTTCTTGTTGCTCGACAAAATACCTGACACAAGTTTGTAGAGGTTTCAGTCCATAGTTAGTTGGCTCAAGGCAGGGTAGCATGGCAGAGGGGCATCACAGAGGAGAAACAGTTCATGGCAGAACAGGAAGGAGGCAGGCAGCAAGCCTGTCTTTCCCATTTATCCGATCCAGTCTATAAGCCTTTTGGATGGTACCACCCACAACTAGAACAAGCTAAACCAATCAGTGGACTGATTTAGTTATCATACCCTTAATCCATGTTCATGTATCCACATTCACGGACCCTAGATCCAGCCACCTCTGAAAAGCCCCACCTATGGGTGCATGAGGCTTTGGAAGGACATCAAGATACAGGCCATAATAGAAAGGTTTTATGAGCCTGCTGGGCATGTTTATACCCCCTTCCCCAAGAAAACTTAGCTAATTTCTGCGCAACCTTGATCTAAGACTGCACATATTACCTCTTCTAGGAAGTCTTTGATAATTTTGTGTGAGAGAAGTTTGGAATCTTTTAGGGGGGCTTTAGTACTTTTTATTTTCAAAGCATGTGTCAGATAATATTGTCTGTATTTCTTACTGTATCATAAGATAGCAAGGGCTGAGTCAGGATTATTATACATCAAATATAATTCTGAGATATGGTAAGTATTCAGTAAAAAACATTGAATGCAAGTTACAGAATGGTGTGTCTTAAGAATGTTTTAAGTAATTTTTCAGGGTTACAATCTAGGTCTTGGACTTATTATTTATTAATTTTTTTGTGATGGGCTTAGTTTTAAATTTTAACCTCTGAAATGTTTTGTTCTAGTGTAAACTACTTGAAAGGGAATTGAATCCATATTGGAAGGATGGTGGGACAGGTCTGCCATCAGAAGACTGCAGTGAATCATCAGTTAAAGGTACTCCTATATTTTGGTTGTAGACACATAGGCATTTCTTGTAAGTTGGTATTCCTGAGGGATTTACCCGAGTTTATCATTGATAAAGTATTAGCAATCTTTTTTGTTATTTAAATCATTAGTACTTGGGAGAAAACTGATCAAAAGTTTTATCCTTGTTTTTATATAATGCTTTCTTGTAAGAATTTTTCTGGTGGCACAGGCCTATAATCCCAGCACTTAGGAGGTGGAAGCAAGGGGATCACCTTGAGTTCAAGGCCAGCCTGAACTAAATTGAAACTTGGGCCTTCCCACTAAGCTATTTCACCATCTTTTTATTTTTATTTTATTATTTATTTTGAGACAGGGTCTCACTAAATTACTGAGCTGCTCAGACTTGAACTTGGGATCCTCCTGTCTCAGCCTCTTCAGCATGAACCGCCACACCTAGACTGAATTTCAGTTTCAAATGGGTTAATTCAAAGTATGATTCTGTGAGGATATAATAATGTAAAACTCCCTTTGCTTTGTAAAAGGTATTTTGTCTATGAAAGTCATGAAAATAGTAACATATAAATAAAGATACAGTTTCTTATCTTCAGAAATTCTTACTTTGCCAGTATTCACAAAATTTGTATTGATATTAGGAGAATACTGTTATTTTCTAGCAGATGGAGACAAAATATTTAAATGTCATGTAAGCATATTTTATACCATGCTTTTAAAAAATATACCATTAAATGTTGCATTAACAACTCAATGAAAAGTTTACTGAATTATGATTATTAATCTGTCATACCATAAAGTATTGTAATTTATGATACCATCTTTTCATTTTAGTGATTTATCAGTAGGATATTTTCTAGCTTTTTATTCTAATCTGACTTTATTTTCGATAAAATTTTTTATATTTGTCCCTAGACATCATCAGCTCCTTTATAATAATTTTACTGACGTTATTAGTAATTATAAATTTACTTTTTACAGAAATGTCTCTCTGCTGGGTTAAGTAATAGTAACTGTAGTCATACAAGGTTCTCTTTGAAATATGGTCTTGTATGAGTTAGGGGAGTAGTAAGTTAGCTCAGACAAATTTTATGATCTGTACTTTTCCTATTTCTATTGTCAAGTCAGTCAATAAACAGGATTGACAGACCCAGTCCTTGAGTGTTGGCATGGAGTCAGCAGGTTCTTAAACCTGAGGGTAGAAGACCTGCAATTGGAGTTCTGTTGAGGCAGTGTATCTTAACTGGTAGAAATGGCAGAATCAAAGACACCTTTTAGAGAATCTCTCTTCCCTTTCACATACTTTCACTACTTCCCTTTCCCATGTTACATTTATTTAGAAGGAGGGAAAAGGACAGTTTTTTCTGTCATAGGCTCAGTTTCTAGAACTGAAATTAAGTTTTAAAACTGATCTGTAGGTTTTATTGCATGTACAGCTAATGTTACCACTCTGCTTAGACCAATGGTAGGGGAAACTGGCACCTAAAATCTTAAGAAGGTGGAGGTGACAGTGTTGTTCAGATTTTGGAATCAGTCTACTTTGGATTAGATTTTGTTATTTCTTTTTTTTTTTTTTTTTCGGTACCGGGGATCAAACTCAGGACCTTGTGCCTGCGGAGCAGGTGGTGAAACCACTGAGCTAAATACCTGGCCCAGATTTTGTTATTTCTATTTTTTTAAATTTGTGATTTTGAGAAAGATTTGTGGTTTTGAGAAAGTTTCCTGACCTTTCTGATCCCAGTCTATTCATTTATAATAGGTTGGCTGGGGATTTAGCTCAGTGGTTCTGCCTCCTGCCTCGCAAGCGCAAGGTCCTGAGTTCAATCCCTGGTACAAAAAAAAGAAAAGAATGTCCTCATTTATAATAGGTGATGATGATAGTCCATCTATCTCTCCCTTCCACCCTCCCTCCCGTCTTCATTTCCTTCCCTCCTCCCTCCCTTCCTTCCTCCCTCCTTTCCTTCCTCCCTCCCTTCCTTTCTCCCTCCCTCTTCTGTTTTTGTAGTACTGGGAATTGAGCCCAGGCCCTTCACAGCGAGCTACATGCTCAGCCCTTTTTTATTTTTAATTTTGAGACAGGGTCTTCCTAAGTTCCCCAGGTTGGAACTTGCAATCTTCCTGCCTCAGCCTCCTAGGGTGTTGGGATTATAGGTGTGCTCCACTATGCCTGGCAGTAGTTCTCTTAAATAGTTATTGAGAACATTAAAGTAGAAAATCTTTTCACACAGCACCTGGAATATAGTGAATACTTGATGATAGTAATGTCAAATTCTTGTTCTGTGATTTAATGTTTTGGAAAGGCTTTATCAAGAGTTTCTTGGTAATATCTGGCATACCATAATTTTCAATAATTAATTCATTAATCTTGATTTTTTTTCTTAGAGAAAACTAGATGGAACAACCATTTCCAGAGCTCATACAAAATTATTTAAAATCATATTTTAGTAATAGATATATCTGATATCCTTTTGTACTCATTCTTTTAAATTGGAATTTTCTTCAAGATAGTATTGTTTTCTTTTTCATAGTGACAAAGTTTCATAGTTTGCACATTATAGGTGCTCAAATATTTAGAATTTGAAGTGTGATTATATTTTTATGTATTCAAATAAAGTATTCAATTTTATACTTTGGAAGTTATAGAAAAAATATGTATTATTAATTTTATGATAATCATATAAAAAGTAAACTAACAGTTCTTCCTGGAATTTAGTCTCAGGAATAGAGGATGGTGGATTAAGCTGGCTAAGGAAATCTTACCAAAGAATGAAAGAACAAGCTGAAAAACAAAACAGAAAATTTGAGGACATTGTAGCTGAAAGATATGGGGTAGGTACCTATATAAGGACATATTATTATTTTTTTAGTTATATGAAAAATTAAGTGTCTTTAACTTTGTTTTGTGCCATGAAACACTTTTGAATTGAACTGATAGTCAATCTTTTGTATTTATACTGATAAAGTCATTTTCTGTTTTTTATGTAGCATGTTTGTATTGACATTGTGCATGGAAAACTTAAATGTGTGTATTAATATAAAAATAACATTTTCTTATTTTAAGGAAATTTTAATAATGTAGGAGGCCCTCCTTAGTGCACTTTTGGAGATGGCCATTCTTAAAATTTTCTTGTGTTCCAGAGGTTGGTATATTGTAGAGTTTTTGTGTTTTTTTTTTTGGTACCAGGGATTGAACTCGGGTCCTTGCGCTTGCGCAGCAGCCGACAAAACCACTGAGCTAAATCCCTGACCCTATTGTAGAGTTTTGGCATTTTCCAAAATTGTTTTTTAATTTATCATCATTATTTTTTAAAAGTGTGCATATGCTCTTGAAAACAATGTAGTCATGCAACATGTTATATATGACATTTTAGAACCAGCTTACTTTCTTTTCTTTTTAGGTAATGTGTCATCTATCTACCCTGATCTGTGTATACACTCATATTTAAGTATTCTTTTCTCTGATACAGTTTTATTTTAAGAATATTTTTAGTTTTGAGTTTGGAGATTCAGGAATTAGGGATTTTTTAATGTACAACACTCACTCTCCCAAGACTTATTAGAGTACATCCTTCTGATCTGGAAAATCAGCTGGGGGAAATTTTCTTGTGTACATTTAATTTTTAGGAATGTTCTTCTCCCATCATCTTTGCTCTTTCTGAGTGCACTAGTACATGCAGATTATAGTCTAGAACCAATTGTTCTTGTGTCTTTTTTCTTATAACTTATATCTGTTTATCATTTCCTAAGCTATAGAGAATCTCCAGGCTAATTTGGTTTTTAATGCTTTTTATTCTATTTTTTATATCTTGGCATTTTTTGTGGCACACAGTTTTCATTTATTAGTCTTTCTTGTTTGAAACTATTTTTTTCATGAGAGTGTTTTAACAACAGGGTAGCCTTTTGAATCTTACTACCCAGTCAGAATTATTTATTATTTTTTAAAAAATTATATCTCCACTGTATTCTGTATTATGCTCTGTGTTGTACAGAGCATTTGTTTTAAGAAGCTCCTCTTTTGAGATCGTTTTGGTTATTTGATAATTTTTCATTGTTTGTTCATCCTTTTTAGAGTATTTTAGTGGAGGATAACTGTATGGGTTAACCGCCCCTTCCCCAACTTGGTGGGTTTTTCTCTCCTTGTGCCACTTGTACAGTGGGTCATGGCATAGTGGCATGTGAAAGACACATCACTGAATATTTCATAATTTTAGGTATGTTATTTTTTTCCTTTGTAGTCAATGGAAATATTTCAGTTGAAATTAGAAGAAGCTGAAAAAACTGCATCCAAAAATCAAGATTATAGACAAGAACGATGGAGGAAACCAACATATTCAGATAAAGTTCAAAATAGTCAAGAAAAAAAATTAGACTTAGTAAAATATAATAAAAGTTCAAGAGTTAAGTATGATACAACAGAGATTGCAAATAGTAGCAATAATGATAAATTTAGTAGTAATGAAAAAGATAAGAGAGATGGGTCTTTAGAATCACATAGAAGAGAATTCAGTCCAAGGCAAAATCAAGAGTTCACTACTCCAGGAAATTTGAGACCTAAATTCTTAAGACCATCTGATGATGATGAGCTGTCATCTCATAGCAAGGCTAGAAATTTTGAGCCATCTAGTTCATCTACATTAGTAGCTCAGGGTTCTTTGCAGTGTGGTTTCCAAAAGCCCATGGAAAACAATGAAGAAAGATTAACATCTTGGAGTCGATCTGATGGGAGAGGAGACAAGAAACATTCAAGTAAAAAGCCACTGGACACCAGTAGCGGTGTTGACTCTCGACACATTCCAGGAGACGTGGGAGAAAAATTACCAGCTGAGAATGTGAGAGATGACCCTCCAAAGTCTACATTTACTGGGTATTTTATTATTTGGTTTTTAAACCAATAAATTACTATTAAGATCATGAAGATTCAAAGAAATGACCTTCATTAGAATATCAGTTATTACATATGAGCATGTTCTATTTCTTTTTTTTTTTTTT